CCAACCAGGGCCCCTCGTGAGCCAATTATTTGATCCACACACATGCCACCAAGCCAGCTCAAAGCAAAATTCGCACAACATTTCGCCCAGAATCGCCAATATCCATCTCAGAAAGACAGCGCGGCAGTGACTGGTCCTTCTCGCTACAAAATTTAGGGCCATCTCATTTCAGCTCCACTTTTACCAGATTTCCGATGCTCCTTTCCTTCGTTTCAGATTCCTAGCGCACTGATCTAGTTGTTCCACCTCTCCGTTCTTTCCTGCGCTCTAAGTTCTGAAGTCCATTTATTAATTTCCTGTTCGTTGTCTTCTGTTCCCCCTCCGCCAGGTCCATGGTTGCGTAGCGTGCCGGTATGAAGGAGCTTATCCCGCCTGCGTCAATATGGCGACGGCGTGACAGACAGAACACCTACCCTCCCTGCATCAGTCGTCTGGAGATCAGGTATGTTTTTATTCCAACAACGATTCTCTAAACATGCATCTTGTCTGTGTCTGCGTCATGCAAGTCAGGTAAGTCCATCGTAACATGCTCGTTGCTCTTTTCTGCCTAACTTGTCTTCGTGTGTTTGGACTATGCTGTGAAGCTCGGCTGCTTGTGTTGTTTTTTTGGAGATTTGAAGTGTCAGCATGTTTGTTACAATAGTGCACGCTGCAATTGTGGGTGTAATATTGTTGTGACTTGTGTATTTCCAGGTTAGGTACGTGCGTCACTAGGTGCAGGAACATTCTACGATCCCCCTATCACCATGTTTGTCGAAGTTATCAACATCCCGTAGTTTCGGTCGCATCAACGCCTAACAAGTTAGGTAAGCTCTCTTGTGGTGCTCGTTGCCTATGCTGTCTAACTTTGTTGTCTGAGCTGTCTAGCTTTGTTGCGTGTGTTGCCAGCATATTGCAGGTCCCGTTTGTCTTGTAGATCTAATTAAGTGGCAGTAATGCATGCTGCAATTGCGGATATATTGTTTTATCTTGTACATTGTACAGTGCATTAAACGCTGCTGAAATGCATTAGTGGTAGTTTCTTGTAATATTGAATTTGTTCACATGTAAGGCATTCCAGAACATCAGCTGGAATACAGCTGAAGGTATTTATTTTGTGGCACTATACCTAAAACTGACAATTTCACTCACTGAAACGCTCTTAGTGGAAGCTGTAAATTTTTTCTGTAATGCTTGTATAACAAGTCTTTCTAATTTACTATGCGTCAGGTGTACTGTGGTAACCTTTTTGTTTCGTTACAGAGAACCTCTTGTATGAAGTTCCCCGATTCTTGTAGTGAGTATGAGCAGTGTTGGCCTTATGTTGGCGCAATCCTTGCCGAGCCTGACGAGGTTTGCACTTACAAACCTCACAACGAAACTTCAAACAATCCCTACGCGGTGGAGGATTTCCGAAGATAGACCTCAAACATTGGTGCCTGGGACATACTTCAAGCAGTGCTTTAGGATTTCTTGAGGAAAGATTTCGACCGATTTTTTCTGTGACGACGAACTGAAATGCGCAGTAAATGTGAATCTCTCTCGATAAGATGAGATGTTTATGAATCAGAAGTGAGGCAGAGGCCACGAAGCAGGCTCCCGCTGAGCGACTCACGGAGAGGCATAAAGAAGAACAGATACAAAACGAGAAGATGGAGGGATACTGCCACGGGATGACTATTGCGACGCGGGTTCGGAAGATCTAGTACTAATGCTGAGCCTAGTGATTCATGGTGCTTCTGGTAAGGGCGTATCCATCTTCGGGTCATGAGCACTGTTCCGGGCATGCGCGATTTGCGGATGACCCAAACAACATAAAACGTCACTTTGGGTCCTCGGAACTCATGCGATCCCCAAATTGCCGCGAGGGTTTTCGCGCCAAAATCACTCGCCCCACAATAGTCGCATCCAATGGAGGGATGCCATAACAGTTAGAGAGATGGTTAGCGAGACCCACGCAAAACCACGCGACACCCACCGAAAAACACAATAGTCAAAATTCCCGGCGTGAATCCCCAAATGTTGGGAGCGCGATGCGGGATTTTTTAGACACACTCATAGTCACTGGGGTTAATTTGCAAAGTGGTTGGGTGCAGAGGTGTAAGACGTAAGACATTGGCCACTTGTGACACTAGACTGACGACCGCCAAAAAGATGGCAGTAAATCCACAATCGCCCAACGATGTGATTGGTTGGGGATGGGTCGTGCACGTCGGTCGCCCAAAACCTACACATTGACCCAAAGCTGGGGCCACGCGCTGCTCGGAAGCCCACTTTGGGTCATGCACAAATTTCGCATGACCCAAACAGTAGCCAGAACAGTGCTCACGACCCGAAGATGGATACGCCCTAAGATGGTGATCGAGTTGCGCTCCACATTGTGACTGAGGAATCCGCCTCAAATGGTTTTTAACGGGCTGTGCTCCGGTTCAAAGGTTTGGTGCTGAACCCAAATTGGGGAGGTAACGTGGGGTGAAAATGAAATTTCCAAGGCGAAAGGCCTAGCAGCTGTGTAACAGTGTTTCTTGTACCTCGCAAATCGGGCCAGGGCTCAAATATCTCGACAATGCTCGTTTGGCGAGCATATTGGGTGATTTGCGAACATCGGGCGATGCGCGAAACGCTCTTGCCCGATTTCCGCATCGTGAAACCTCGCCCATAACCTCCACACAATCGTCCGCGCTTTTCGCTAAAATAGTCGCTACTATTATGTCATACTCGCCTGCAGCTAGGAATGCGCCAGCAAGCACAGTTGTCGTCATCAACAGTCAATAGCCGTCACAATTGCCACCTGTCGTGAGAAACTCCTGCATGTCAGTACATCAAGCGCTGCGACTGGCGGATCCTAATTGATGTCGCCCGCCCCATCTCGCAGAAACGCGCCTTGGCTGTAGACGATGGTGCCGCCACGCGCAGCTCCGAGAATTCGCCGTTTGTTACGTTTAGTCATTCGCTGGGCGAGATGATTCGGCAGCCATTGTCAATCGACGGGGTTCGAAGAACTAGAGGCCTCGTGTAGCGACTCGCTACACTAAAGGCTTGATGGGTTTCGAACGTGTCACAACACCGCTGAAACTCCATGCGCGCGCGATCGACCTGATGAGTCGCGTTTTCCCAAGTGGCAGTCGGCAGGAACGAGATGGCGATCGACGAGGTGGGGTGCAGCCTGACATGCGGTGCTGTGCGCTGCTCGTCGAGATGGGCTGGAAGCGGACGAGCGACAGTGATGCGTGACTACGGGACGGGCGAGTGGGATGGAGAGATCTGGGAAAGACAAACGGAGGGAGGAATGGACGGATGGGAGTACGAGGCGAACCGAGTGCGTGGCATGCATGAAGTGGCATGAGCCTCCCTCCTGTCCTCTCTCGTTCATCCCCTTTCCTCCTCAGCCTGCTTCTCGCCCCCATCAATGCCCCAGCTCTTTTCCCACTACGGCTTTCTTTGTGGCCTATTTCTTGTACCAAGTACCGCTTTCCTTTCCTGGTGTCATTTCGTCCTCATCCTCTCTCATTTTCGCCACTTCCCGTGACGCATTGATGGGCTGATCCATCTGCTGCTGAGAAGCGCCTTGTTCCAAACTGACAGCTCGCTGCTGCCAAGTGGCACGGCTGCCACCCACCCATCTCCACACAGGGCCCGGTAGGTACGGGCAGTCTATTGCTGCACCTCTTTCCGTCAATCCGTTTACTCACACACCCTTCCGCACATCTCCTGTGCCGTTTCCCATGAGTCCTGCTGCCTACCGTTCACCCTTGCCTTAATCCAACCGCACCTTCTTCTCAGCTCACTCCTTTCCAATTCAGCTTGCCTCTACCTACGTGAAGTTTTCTCATATCTGCCCCTCTCAAACGTGTTGTTGTTCCTGTCACCATTTTTGTCATTTTTTTCTTTCAGCCACACATTCACCTCGTGTATGTACAAACATAACTCGAGGATTGGTGATTCTCTTATCTCATTTACTCACTCTCGAAATCAATTCCCTGCGTTTCTGAACTCCGCATGTCTCATGCGTCTGTCCCCCCCGCCCCACCCTGCTCGATTTTTGCCACCAGATTGCGCGCTCTGCTTGCCACTCGCTTGACTTTCTCCACTGCATTCAATCCCTCATCTCACGAGGTACGCAAATTCGTTCAGGATATCCAACTCTTTCGGGTCTCTCCAGTGAGAAGCTTAAGTCAATCATCCACCTATCACCGGACTAGAATGCATCTGCTTCTTCTTCATGCCGTGCTCTCTGCTGTCATCTCCAGTTTTGCCGCTGTCCGCCCATATCCCGTTCATGCTCACTCATTCCACCAGACATGTCTCTACACTCCTCTCAGCAACTGAGCCTCAGTTCGTCACCTCTCCCCATTCCCCCTCTTTCTGCCTGCCATGCTGCCCTTTGACCCACCTCCTCTTCATTGCACCTTCATTCTTTGGCCGCTCCTCGCCCTTGCCTTCGCTTTGGCTGTCGTTCACGTGATCATACTCCACTCGCCACCACCCATTTCCACCCGTCGACTGTCTCGTTTGTTACATGCCTATATGGTCCATTCAGTACATATGTGTATCCATTCCAGGCCTACTCGCCTCCTGATCGCTTGTTTCACGCCTTGGTCATCTCCTCCCTGTTGCTGCCGCTTCTCCCTTCCTTCCCCTGCTGCCTCTGCTCTGCCCTCTGCTGCTTTTGCTTTTCCTTTCCTTCCCCTGTTGCTGCCCTCCTTCCCATTCTGTTCCCCTCCCTCCCCTGGTTCGGCCACTGGCCCCTTCCTGGTTCCTCTCCCTGAACGGTCCTTGCATTAGTCAGGATGTTGTACAAAGGATCTTGCAAACACAAGCAAGGAGGATGAGTCCTCTCTCTTTGTCTTGCTGCTTCTCCCCTTCTCCCACTCCCCCTGCCGCACCTCACTGTGCGAACGCATGCCAGCATTCTGTCAGCCAGGCTCTGACTGCAGTGGCCATGCTGCTGCCAGGGCTGCTCGTGTCGTTCATTCTCGGCGCTGCCATCACACTCGTCAGCATTACACAACTTAACAGAAATGCCTGTTGTCGTGGCCCAGATGCAGAATATGTGAGTGAACACCACTTTCATCACATGTTGACTCTTCAGGGTCACTCCAATATTGCACCACATGGTTTCCACATCATGTGCGTCGTGCACTTTCAAGGCTGCCTTGCCTTGAGTCTCACCATGCACCTGTGCTCTCCTTCCTTTCTTGTTGCCACTTGCAGCTTCCACGTGGCTCCGACAACCAGCAAGTCAACCATCCTCTCATGCTCCGCTCTCCCTCTCTCCCTCACGTTAGTACATTTCCGTGTGGTGCGGTACTTTTTTATTCCCATAGAGCGTTAGCGCGTCGTGTATCTGCACTTGATTGACACTAAATGCTCTGTGTTCATGGATGCGTGCTACCACTTTGTTGCATGCACACATGTGTTGTCTGTCACAGGCCAATGCTATCGCCTCCTCCCCTCAGCACGCCCTTTGCCAAAATGTCCCTCCGCATTTCCTTGACAACCTGGTGCGTATTGGGCTGATTTGATTGCCATCTTGCTGCATTTAACCGCTCTGTTCGGATTTATAGTGTTCCATGGAGTTTGGAACATATTGCCTCTTCCCCATAGTCTTACCCAAACGTATTGCCCCTTCCCCAGATTCTTAACCAAACATATTTCCCGTCCTTTATATTCTTAACCTTCCTCATATTTCCCTTACTGTCCCACATCTGCAGTCTCCAGCTGCAATGAGTCCACTCGTGCTGTATACCGCCATCGCCACTCTCATGGCACTGCTGTGGGGGATGGGCGTGACCCACACGCAAGTCAGAGCACGGGTGCATCAGCAGGGCTGATGAAGCTGAAGAGTGCAACCAAGTGCCTATTGGTATGCCCATGCGCTCTCTGCCCTCCACCACTGCAGCTCTCCTGTCAGGCTCTCTCCGAACAGCTTTCACTCGCTTTTGTTTCCCATCTCATGCGGCCACTCGTTTTCAGATTGTCTCTTTTCCTCCTCTCTCCTCCACTCCCGTCACCGTGCATCCTGCCTTTTCTTCCTCATCATCACCATGCTGCAGCTACGTGGGATCTTCTCTCTGCTGCACAGCCTCATGTGAGCATGCCCCACCTCATCATCGTTGTATCTCATCTGGGGTTCATTTGTCGTTTATGTCACGAGTTGTTAGTCGAATTACACGTTTCCTCCTCGTTTCCAATGTGCCGTCCTTCCATGTTTCTCCAACCATCCCCCTCCCTTGGTGGGCATAGATGTTGTGTATGATACGCTCATGCTGTCTGCCATCCGTTTAAAATTTCCAAGTTTCCCTGTCACTTGGCTGTACAATCAGCAGTTGTTCTCGCATTTTTCTTGATGAATTGATCTGGGCTCTCTCTACACCGAGCTACTCTTCTTTCCATTCTTGTTCTCCTCATGTCTCCCAACGCACCACCTGCATCTTCTCTCCCTTAGCCTTTCCAAGTTTCCGTTTTCTTGTTTTCTATGCCTTCTGCCACCCGTGTGCGGCAATGCACAGGAAGCATGCCTTTTCAGGGATGCAGGGAGTGGGTGAAGCTGTTAGAACTGTCGTCGCGAGTGTGGTCGGAACACATGAGTTGATGGAGGTGATGGAGAGGAGAATGAGGGCGCTTGGCGTGCAGCTGGAAGAGGCTGAGAGGAGACGAGCGGCGGAGATGAGGGAGATGCGAGGGCAATTGGGGGAGACGGAGGGGCAGCTGAAAGCAGCGAATGGGGAGATATCTGCATGGAAGGTGAGTGCTGAGTGAACTGTTTTACAGGGCATGCAAGGGATGTTTCGTTTTTAAGATTACGATAACCTTTTCCCTTGTCATGCATTTCCTTCAGAAAATCAAATCAGCATCACAAAAGGTGTGCCTAGAGCTGCATTGTCACGATGGAGTATCGGACGCCATGCTCGCCCATGTGTCTACAATGACGCATTTGACGAGAATTACCTTGGACTCTAGCACAGGCTTCAGTGCAGAGGGCATCAAGCACCTCTACCGACTCCCACGGCTGAAGGTTCTAGATCTTAGCTGCACTTACATCTCAGACTGTGCCTTGGAAGGAATTACGTCGTTGACCGGTCTCGAGCAGCTTTATCTCCATGTTAACGATGTGACCGATGCTGGCCTGTCGCAGTTGACATGCCTTTCCTCTCTCGCGGAACTGGGACTTTCTGGATGTACGTCTGTGACAGATGCTGGTATGGTACATGTGGGGAGGATGATGGGGCTTGAGGAGCTTCATCTGGGTTGGACGGCAGTCACAAATGATGGGCTGCAGCAGCTTAGTGGCCTGACCAATCTGACAACTCTTCGAATCCCAAGTGGGGAACTGGTTTCTGATGAGAACGTGTTAGAGTGGATAGGCACGTAGGGTGGTAGAGAGATGGCGGGGAGGGAGATGAGGCGAGGGCAGCGTTGACAGTAGCTTGGAGGATTTAGAGGAGTAGTGTGGAGGCAAAGGTGTGAAGGATGAGGGGAGCAGCACATGGAGGAATGGGGAAGTTGGCTTGGCAAAGCTTTGCATGTGTACAGCCCAGAGCAGCCTACGGTTGATTCTTGTAGTTAGTTGTAGGCATGTGTGTATACAAGGCCATGACGGGCGTGTACGGTACCTAGGTTTACAGCAACTCGTAGGAAGGCATTTGCTGGTTGGACTTTGTGGTATGCTGGACTGTAACTGGCATTGTTGGTGTAGGTGTAGCTACTATGTACGTTAAATGTTGAACAGGGTGTGGCAGAGGTACAGAACAGAGAGTAGAGTAGGGAGAACATTGTGCAGGGGAAGATGAAGACAGTGACTTGGCAAGCCATTTTCTGTACCCACCCTAGCATAGTGTGTGGTGTGATGCCCTGTAGTCGCACTCACATCTTTCAGGGCCTTTGGGCAATCTAGGGTAGTCGGGCAGGCCTTCCCTCCCACAAGAACCATGATTAATATTGGTTATGAATTCTGTAAAACTCCATTTTTATTGGTCAATATGAATAAAACAAACGAATTATCATGCACACCTCAGAGTGGGTATAAAAGAGTGCATTGGCTTGCTAGAGTGTGTTGGCTGGGTTTGTGTCAAAGCATGATTCTTGCAATTAAGGGCACAGGTGAAGATTAAGGGAGTGAGGGAACGGTGGAGGTCATGCATGCTGCTGCCTCACCCAGCATCATCATATTCCCACCAGGCCCCAAATTTCAAGGGTATTTTACCCTTTTTGCCCTGATGGTAGGCCACTTTTTGGCAGTTACCCTTTTGAAATCAGGGTATGGTGATTTTTACCCTAGTGAAATCAGGATACACTAAAAAGTACTCTTGTTGTTTTTTCAGTTACACTGACTGTATCAGGGTAGGGGTTCAACTACCCTTTTACCGGAACTTTTTTGTACCGCGGATTCCGCCACAGTACGCGCCACGACAAAATGCACAACGGTCCCACTGGACCATTTGTTCGATACACCCACTGGCGCGCCAACGCACATTCAGCACGGATGCCCACGCACGCCTACGATTGGTCCGTTGAGCAACATCAAAGCCAACGCACCCGGTTTTCGTGCGTTGGCGAAGCACCGCTCACTGCCAACGTTGCCAAATTGCGTGCCAGGTGGGGTACGTGCTGTCGTTTCCACCACCTGGCAGTCATTGTGGCCGTGCAGCCTATGCCATGCAGTTCCCTACCAGCGCGGGAACCGTGCTGCCTGAGACCCCTTGGGCTTTGTGATTCCCGAGGGGTCTATCAGACTCTCTCCATTCTCTCGCTTCCCTCTCGTTTGTTGTTCCGAATGCCTGCCTCTGAGCCTGATCCGCCTGGTAGCACCAGGAACGGTCTCTCCGTTCTCGGTGTGTTACCTCGGTTGGCTGAGAACTATAGCGTCCCTATCTCTCAGCCTGCGCGTGAGCCATCCCCTGAATGTCTTGTCGGCACCGTTTTCCCGTGCGAGCGTTCAGCCTCGCCAAAGTCCCGGGAGCCACACCCGTCTCTCGAGCTTGTTCCCGATGGCGGCGAAGGCCCGTCGAAGCCAGCCACTGCAGCCCCGTCCACAATTAGCACAGCGCCCGTGAAGCGACAGCGTGTGGGCGTGACATACAAGCAGCAGAGGCTCTGGGGCGCCCCTCCTCCACGACAAGCGGCATCACCACCACGCCGTGCTGCTCCTGCTGAGCCGAAGCCTCCAACCGCTTCAGCAGAAGCTGAGTACGAAGCGGTAAAAGCAACTTTCGATTCCCAATGGTCAGGTAAATTCAGCTGGCTTCGCTTAATGCGCATGACTAACGGCAGGCCGTCATTGAAATGTGCCATCTGCATCAAGCACGGAGATCCAAACGCGCACACTGCCTACGGCGTCAGAGGTGAGGGTGCGCGAGACATGCAGCTAGGGAGCATCCGCGCGCACACATCCAGCAGAGCCCACAAGCAGGCCTTGGAAAACGAGGCCAAAGCAGACGCGGAAAAGGCGAAGCAAGCCACACTAACAAGGTGGCAGAGCACCGACGCAGCTACACGGCACATCATCCGCTGCCTCCACATCGCGCTCTTCATCTGCAAGGCTGACGCGCCAATAGCCATGTTTGTTCCATTGTGCTGGTTTTTGGCTAAGGAAGGATTGTCAGACCTTCCTCCGTCAGGAGGGTACGGCGCCTTCTACACAGAGTATGTGCGGTTTCTGGCGCATGTGTTTGTTCCATGTCTCAAGCAGACGAGATGCTAATGCAATTTGTGTTCGTGTGCCATGTGTTTTGTCCTCGCAGCTACGGATTCAAAGAGATGCGGCGCGCCACCTCCACGTACCTTCAAGAGACTCAACGCGGCCACCTGCTGGAATCCCCATGGATAGGGATTTGTCTCGATGAGAGCACCGACCGGGTGAATGGCAAGCACCTGATTCTCTATGCGACATTCTTCAAAGGGACCGCACCGGTAACGGAGTTCCTAACTCTGATTACCGTGGACCGTGCCGATGCGGCCTCGCTAACCTCCGCTGTTGTGCAGTACCTTACAGGAATCGGGGTAGATCTCCAGAAGATTTCCGGAGTATCTACGGACGGGGCCAGTGTGATGACCGGCAAGAACAACGGGGTAGTCGCGAGGCTTCAACTGCGCATTCCACACTTGGCTTCGACTCACTGCGTCGCTCACAGGTACGGAGGTTGAAACTTGAATTTCTTTAAGAACCAGATCAGCGTCGAATTACCGTTCTGACATGCTCCACTCAAATGCGCAGGGAAGCATTGGCAGCTAAGGATGCCGCGGAGGCAGTCCCCGAGCTCGGCATGGTGGACGACGTGGTGCGTGTTTTCTCCGAGCACATCGGCCGCAGCAGCGTGGATTACACCAAGTTTCAGAATCTGCAGCGCGTCTACTGCCAGACGAATCTGGAGGCGCAGGGCATACACGACGTGCGTTGGCTCTCCCGTGGCAAGGCGATCCAGCGGTTCCTTGACGTTCTGCCTGCAGCCATCGTCGTGCTGAAGGATTACAAGAAAGACTTGTACGAGGTAGTCACCTCGTTCAAGTTCCACTGGCTCATCCGCTTCCTCGCGGATGTGCTGTGGGAGCTCAACCAACTCAATCTGCGCTTTCAGCAACGTCAGGTAACACACTGACAAGCAAATTTGTACTTACACGCACGCCTGCAATGCTCGTTCTGACCTCGTGTTTTGTATGTGTGCAGGTGGACGTCACCCTCGTGGCGCACCTTGTTCAACAGACGCGGATGCGCCTGAAGGCGCGCTACTTCGACAGGTCCCCTGGTCACTTTTTTGGCAGCGGAGAGAAGATGCAGCTGCCTGACTTCATCAAAGCTCACCAGAAGCTGGATCAGCATGAAATGAAAGCGGAAGGCGTTGACGCGGATGGCAACGCCGTCTCCTTCGAATTCACCCTGCACGAACGCCCCCTGCCAGGCCATGAGACTGAGGGTGATGTAACCGCCTGCTTTGAACTTTCGCTCAAGTTCATCCGCAAAGTGGACGAGGAGCTGGAGTGGCGCATGCGCGACCTCAACCTCCTGGAAGGCGCCAAGCTGTTTAGAACGGCGTCGTATGTGTACGACGACACCAAGCGGCTGGAGTCCTTCAGGAAGTGGCTTGGCCAGCTCCACAAGCTGTACAACCACAAGCTGCCTGGTAAGCGTGTTTGTCAGATGGGTCGGGTATTTGAGATTGACTTGCCTCCTAAGCTTTGCACCAGCTTGTTTCCCATTGCGCTTGTTGCAGCTCATCACCCGGCCCTGTATTGTTGGACTAATGCCTCCCACTCCTACCCGTATGTATGAGCATATGCCAATTATCAACCCCTTCCGCACTACCAGGGTTCGACTACAAGCGTGCCGGCCAGGAGCTCTGGATGTTTACCTCGACCATGTTCTCCCAGCACAACGGCGAGGAGTTTCATCAGGCGCTGGGGAACGTGCTGCGCGACGAGGCGTGGCATGCTTCGTTTCCCAACATCGTCCGGATGTGGCAGTCTGTCGCCGTGCTACCACTGAGCACGGTTGAATGTGAGCGCGGCTTCAGCAAGCAGAACCTGATCAAGACGTGGGACCGCGGCAGCCTCGGCGACACAAGCCTTGAGCACCTGATGCGGTGCTCCCTCCTTCAGTACGACATAGACTGGTACGAGGTGGTCGCCATATTCCGCGGTGAGAAGCTCAGGCGTTCCACCAAGGACTTCTCCGGCATGAAGGCCAGCACTGCACACTTTGCAGACGAGGCAGTTGCTAGTGCAGCAGACGTTGATTGACTAGTGGTTTTAAGATGGTTTATTTAACTAGATAGTTAGTCAAGCTTGTTTGCAGAACACTTTATTGATAAGTAACTGTTGGTGTAGTAAAAATTCGTGCGTAGGAAGGAAACAGTGTACGACATATATTACCCTGCTGAAATCAGTGTACCTGAACTTTTAGGCTGCTACAATCAGTGTACGAGAAAAATTACCCTACCAGTCAGGGTACGGAGGGCCTGCCACCCTGATTTGAAAGAGTGAGCTAAAACCTATTTTGGGCCCTGGATAGCATGGGATGAAGTATGTATGGGTTGAGGTATGGGACCAGGTGATGGATAAGGCTTGTGAATGGCGATGAGGGGGAGACAATGGTAGTGAAACCACGGATGGTTGAAGTGACAGGTGCGATGGTTGAAGCTGGGTGACTGGAGAACTTGGAGCTGGTAGAATTAGAAACAAGGGCGAAGAGTGGATATGGAAATCGGGATACGGGATGGAAAATGGAGGGGGTGAGAAATATGAGAGGAGGTTAAATGTGGGGGGTTGAGGGGGGAGGGGGGAATAAGGAAGTGGAGGAAGAAAACAGAGGATACGAAAGCAGGGCAGTAAGAGATGCACACGTGCATACGATTACACTATCTGTGCCGAGGGGCATTAGCTTAATGGAAGAGGCAGAAAGACGGCGAGGAAGCACGGTAGAAAGAATGCACTGTGCGTTTCACAACAGGGTGATAGCAGGTCGTGGGAGAGATGCATCGTGGGAGGGTGGGAGAGGTGGTACCTGATGGTGCGATGGTTACGGTGCTGCTGTGGGAGGGGGGTTGGGGAAAGCAGATGGGAGGGTGATGAGGATGCAAGAGAGGGAGGGACACTCGGTGCGTGTATGGGTGAGGTACGAAGGGCCATGGAGTGACAGTGTGAATTGCATGGCCCAATAAGGATGGAGGGTCACGTTGGGTATAAGGAAATGACGCAGGGAGGGCAGGAAGGGGGGGGAGACGATGATGAGTGGGAGGGGGATGAAAAAAAGGATGTGAAAATGAAGGAATGTGGAAGGGAGAAGAAAAAAGACGAGAGGGGAGGTAGGGGGGCCGGGATGTGGGAGGAAGTGGGCTGGGGTAAAGCAGGCATGCGGCAGATGTCAATCACCATCTGGGAGGGTGGTCAACTCCTTGTGCCGCTTCACCTCTTTCAGAGGAGAATGGGAGTATGGGATGGGGGAATGGCAGTATGGGATGGGAGAATGGGAGAATGGGATGGAAGAATGGGAGAATGGGATGGGAGAATGGGAGAATGGGTTGGGAGAATGGGAGAATGGGATGGGAGAATGGGAGAATGGGAGCTTGGGGGCATGGGAGCATAGGAGAATGGGAGTATGGGATGAGGGCATGGGAGGGCATGGGAGTATCGGAGGATGGGAGCATACGTGAATGGGAGTATGGGAGAATGGGAGCATGAAAGCTTAGGAGAATGAGAGCATCGGTGGGGGAATGGGAGTATGGGATGGGAGCATGGGAAGAAGGGGGCATCTGCATGGAAGAATCAGAAAATGGGGGCATGGGAGAATGGGGCCACGGAAAAATGGGCTGCCTCCTTCTAACAGCCCATGAAGGAGAAGGGGTGCAGAGTTGGTACTGAAACATTGTGTGAGCACACAGAAGGGGAGGGAGAAAAGGAAATGACTTTAGAGGTTCGGGCGTTTGAGCAAACAAGAGGCAGGTCTATCAGATCAGATGGGCGGGGGATAGAGTTGGTTGAGTGCATCAGCAATTTCTATGCCAGGGTATGATCATAGGCTTGGAGTCAGGGAAGATGGAACAGGAAAAACACGCACGAATGAATGAATGTGCTGGTTGTATGAGTGCTTAATGCATTCTTCATGTTGGCCTTTTTTGGTTCATCTCCGTATTATTCTCACAAGAATGAGATGCGAGTTGGTGACATATTTGCCATTTATACTTGATATTTCCACATCACTCCTCTAGGGCCGCATTCAATGCCCATTTGGGAATGGCCCCACCCATGGTCCTCTCACTTATCACACTCTTACCCTCCCTGCAGCTCTTCGAACAATCCACCCTAAATTGGTCTCCCTCAGCTCCATTACTCCCGGTTATCCTATCCTACTGAAACAGGGCTACGGCACGCAGCCACGCACGGCGCGGCTGGCCTGGCCGGCCATGGCGACTAGGAAGAGTGGCGCCGTTGCTAGAGACTAAGAAGAGGTGTAGAGATTTGCAGTGTTAGGGAGCTAGGCTGACCGAGAGAAGCCTAGCTCCAGTAGCGTTAATGAGAGAGAAATCAAGAAGAGGATTCTTAGTTTAGATAAAACATATGATACATCAAGTTTCAGGAAGAGACATTTATGGTAGGCGAAAAGGAAGGAATGGAAAACCGCGTCACCACGCATTTAGCATGGCATCTTGGCATAACGCTTCGATATCATGCCCTGCTGTATTCTAAGGAATGACGGGGATGGAAGAATGTTCTCGAGGCTAGCAAGCGCAGTGTTCAGATCTAGCTGAGATATACAGCATCTCCCAGTCGGAGATTCTCTTGGATGCTCGCATGGTGAAACCCATCCTGTTACACCTACAATCCGCTTGTGTATCTCCTCGTTCTCGAGAACACCTCCTTCTGGCGGGCAGAGCTTTTTCAGCTTAGTCAGAGCAGTCAGCTGCTGCAGCCCTTCATTTGTAACTGCTGTCTCACCAACCCTAACTCCTCAAGCCCTGCCAACAAAACTCACACCCTTGCATCTAGAAAGTTCCAGCTCCTTGAGAGAGGAGAGGCACGTCAGCTGCTGCAGCCGATCATCCGAGACTGCCGTTACACCAACCCCTAGTTTCTCGAGCCCTGTCAGCCTCCCCACATGCACCATGCCAGCACTTGACACGCCCTTGCATTTGCCAAGTCCCAGCACTTTGAGAGAGAATAGACCCGTCAGCTGCTGCAGTCCATCATCTGTGACAGCTGTCTCAATTAGATAAAGCTCTTTCAGTCCTGTCAGCTTCCCCTCATGCACCATGCCTGCACTTGACACACCCTTACAGTCGGAAAGGCTCAGCTCTTTGAGAGAGGAGAGACCCGTCAGCTGCTGCAGCCCATCATCCGTTATTGCTGTTACAGATAACCCTAGTGCCTCAAGCCCTGTGATCCTTCTGACATGCACCATGCCAACAATGCTCACGCCCTTGCATTTGCCAAGTCCCAGCACTTTGAGAGAGAATAGACCCGTCAGCTGCTGCAGCCCATCATCTGTGACAGCCGTCTCATCCAGACAAAGCTCTTTCAATCCTGTCAACTTCCCCACATACACCATGCCTGCACTTGTAACATTCTCGCATTTGCAAAGGTCCAGCACTTTGAGAAAGGAGAGGCATGTCAGCTGCTGCAGCTCATCATCCGTCACTGCTGTCCCATCCAGCCGTAATATCTCAAGCCCTGTCAACTGTTCCACTTCGACCATGCCAGCACTTGTCACACCATTGCATTCAGAAAGCTTGAGCATCGTAAGAGAGGAGAGAACTGTCAAGTGTGGCAGCCCATGATCCGTCACGGCCGTCTTATCCAGCCCACAAAAGATTTTCAACGCTTGTCAATCTTCCAACATGCATCATGCCAGCAGCTGACACCCCCTCGCATTCGGAAAGGCTCAACATTTTGAGAGACAAGAGTCCCCACAGCTGCTGCAAACCAGCATCAGTGACTGCCGTGCCATCCAGAAAGAGTTTATCTAGTTCCGTCAGCCTCCCCACATCCACCATGCCTGCAGCTGTCACACCCTTGCATCCAGACAGATGCAGCGACTTGAGAGAGGAGAGAGCTATCAAGTGTGGCAGACCAGCATCCGTGACTGCCGTGCCATCCAGCAGAAGCTCCTCAAGCCTTGTCAGTCTCCCCACATGTACCGTGCCAGCCGATGTCACACCAAAGCATGACCCAAGGTCCAACGTGTTGAGAGAAGAAAGGCATGTCAAGTGATGCAGACCAGCATCATTCACTTTGGCCATCTCGATAAAAAGTTGCTTCAGACTCCTCAAGGACCCAATGCCTTCCAGGACGCTGTTTGAAAGGTTTGTCTTTGCAAGGTCTAGCGTTTCCAGTTGACGCAGCCTGTAGAGGTGCTTGATGGCCTCTGCACTGAAGCCCGAGGCAGAGTACAAGTCAATGCTCGTTAGATGGGTCATGGTAGACACATGGGCGAGCATGGAATATGAGAAGCCGCGGAGATTTGGCAGGTCCAAATCTGCATTCCGTGATGCTGCATTGATTGCCTGGAGGAAATGGGTGGGGATGGAAAATAAAAACATGATAAGAGAAGGCATGCTACAGTGAGAAGAACGAACAAGCAAGCAATGCACGCCCAGTGAAGCAATTCACTCAGCACTCACCTCCCATGCAGCCTTCGCATCGCCCTCACTCTGCCTGATTTCCAGCTCCACATTCATCTTCAAATCATTTGCCCTCTGCTTCTTGCGGCCTGCCAATCCCTTTTGCACTCTCTTCCGACTCTTCCCACTCAGACCTCTTGCATCCGATGCCCTCCTCCTTACAGCCAATTTCTCTGCCATAGAACCCTTGTGTTCTGCCATTCCCTCTTTCACCTCTACCAACTCCCCTTTCACCGCTGTCAATTCCCCTTTCACCGCTGCCAACTCCCCTTTCAGCACTGCCAACTCCCCCTTCCCTGCTTCCAGTCCTCTCGCCATGTCCTCCATCACAGCAGCAGTCGCGTCATTCTTCTCCTTCACAACACGCAACATACAACGCAGCTTATCCACCTCCTCCTTGTGTGCAGCCAGCTCCTCTCTCACTGCTGCCAGCACCGCCCCTTTGACCACTTCAATCAGTGGCCCCACCGCTCTCTCACCAGCCATATCGTCCACTCACTCTCCTCAAACTAACCTTGTCTGGTCCCTCTGCGTTCAGCTGACGTTTTCACTGCACACTGTTGAAAGCACACACGTGCAGCCCAGGTAGTGCAGGGTTGAGCGTCATGGGAAAGGAGAAACGTAAAAGGAACAGAGGGCGAGGAGGCGTGGTTAGCACATGAACAAGACCAATTACGCGTGAGGGATGAGGCAGTGATGGGGGAAAGAGCAGATAAGTAACCAAGAAAGCGGGAGACCTGATACAGCAAGGCAGAAACAAATGCAGTCGGTGAAGGGTGGTAAGCTGGGGAGTGCATAGGGTGTTTATGTAGAAGTGCTTCACCTTAACTGGCGTGGCGTGACAGGCAGAGATTCGCTAAAAGAGTGACAAAAGAAACAACAAACAAAACGCGAGAGAAACTAGAGAAGGTGGAGACAAATGACCAGGTTGGAGATGTACACACAGAGGGGGACCCAGGTCGTGTGGCATCAGTCAAATGAAGTGTGCTGAACGAGCAGAGCAGCCAGAAGGTCCCAGATCGGTGGTAAGAGAAAGTTGCTTCGGGAAAGAAAAAAGAAGGCTGAGAAAAAGAATGCAATAAGAGAGGCCTCCTCTGATTTTGAAGTATTTCCAAACCTGAATGTTTGTAACTAATGCAAGTAGGTGAGGTCGCAACACACCCTGGCACTGTGCTGCCAAGATTCACTATCTGCTTGGCCTTCCAAAAAGACGAGCGACAAGTCACCAGCACGAGGGGACGGAGGGAGTTGAGACGAATGGACACAGCCGTAGTCAGATGAAACAATTTGGATGCTTGCTAAGAGCATTCAAATGCTTAGGGTTTCAGAGAGTCCAGAGGCGCGAGAAGGAGGGCCGGACGGCTGTGCACACTGCCGCAGCATGACCGCGAGGAAACTTCTTTCTCTCGATACAAGCGAGGTCCAATCGGATACAATCGCCTCGAGGTAAGCTAAGATGGGATGACCACACACGGCACCGTCGGCGTGGGCGACTCGAAAAGGCGTCGTGACATGGCGGTGCCTCGGTCGAAATCTCTCGACCGGCGCACCGCATCCAGTACAATGCGATGCGCGCGAAGGACTAAGGGAGGGCAGGTGCGTGCGGGCCATCGTTGGAAAACACGATGACGGATTTCGGAGTCATATTCCTAACGCGACTGACGTGTCATCGCCTGACCGCTCATAAATTTCACCCTTGACGTGATCGTAGTATCGCATGGACTGGATAAACCGAACCGCGACGTTCCCCTGGACTCGGGTTTCACGACTGAGGCTGTCACATCCTTTCGGTCTACTAGACGCTCGCGTGATCGGCGATGACGCAACGTCACTAACGTCGAATAAACCGGAAAATGCGTTATGTTTCCCGACTCGTGACTCAAAGCTCGCTATAAGCAGAGTCGTTAGTTTTGATAGACGCATGATCGTCGCGAAGGTCCCGTCACTACCGTTGGACACCTGCCAGTGTTATGTTTTTAACTGAGCTTGTTCAATCCAGGCTGGTAGCAACCTTCAGTTTTGGTAACGGTTTTACTTAGCACAAACACACAGACTGAAGTGTTCTGAACTGCCCTTTCAACCAGCACCGAATTGTGTTCCACTTCAAATCACGTCTCAATTCGTGTGGTAGACAGGCCTTCAGCGCTTTCACGTGCCGCTTCACTACTGTGAAAGTAGTTGTGCGGCAACTACATCGCGGAAAAGTTAGGTGCGCAATTTCTCTGTGAGTGGGTTTTTCTACGGAAAACCATACAAAATGTGCCAGCGAGTCCCCACAATGTCCCAAAACACCTGTGACGCAAATGTCACATGTTGGCTCAACCCCTCAGGCACGAAAGGACCTCGGGTTCTTCGAACCGCACATTTGACCTCGCGACGCGTTGCCTAGAATCGCACATTTTGCGGTTGCGCGTCATTGCGCACTGCGAAAGCTCCGCCGTCAATTTCAGACGACACCAAATGTACATCCACAAACATTTTCACCTTCATGCTATAAGCCAACATATACACCAGGTAGACAAGACCCATTATGTCATAAGGGCTGCACATCAACCCAACCAAACTACGTATCCGGAAATTAAATAGACTAATTAATTGGCCACAGCATGCGTCTTCTGTAATGGCGTCAACTGCGTCCACACCAGAGCACATGGCCACAGGGCCCCCACATGTCACGGGAAAAATAACCCACCACCCTCATTCCGTCAGCAGGAACTTGTTCAGGAGCATGACACGTCTGTTCACATAAGACTTGCACACGTGCACCACCCTCTAGATGCACTCCACTGGAACCACCGCGTATCTTGTTCTCACACGGCCGGGAGACAGCTGCAGGCATGTCGTCATCGGGCACGTGCCCTCCGCCTCATAGTACTTAACGTACACATGTCGCCCCATCTCCCCGTCCGCCCCCTCTGCGCGGAAGATGCAGAGGCACCTGGCATACCACTCCTCTTTGGCAGACCGGTACACTGCGATGTCTGAAAACCACCGCTCTGAAGGGCTGGCCTTCACAAATGTGCCCTTGGGCACAAGCTCCCCCCCCCCCCCCCCCCCCCCCCCCGCATTCGGGGGATCGCCACGGCTGTGTGTACCTGCGTACGTCGGGCAACATAGACAGAGTATAGTGGATGCGGTGTACGGGTGACACGAGGCGGTGGCCCAACCGTCACACATGCTATCACCGATGTGCATTAATCATCACCCAGCCACCTTCTCAAACGACATTCCCCACCTCGATGGTGGTGGTGGGGATGCCTGCCGCCACCATGCACCCTGCGAGTGCGTCCATGTCTGACCCATGAGCCTCGCGATATGCCCACATCACCGCGTCCAGGCCTTCGTCCACGTGCGCTCTCCTTGACGTCTTCGTCAGGACTGGCTTCAGGCATCGCACGGCCTGTGTGCACGCAACAACATGCACGCCACGTGTGAGAATCCGGGGTCCGAGGGCACTCTCCCTTATTCAGCACATGGTGAGCCTGTTACGCAACCCTATACGCTCACCTCGCGCATCGCCGTCACATACTGCCTGTTTCCACCCGCTTCTGTCGCCACCTCCCGTGCAATCTCGCGCTGCACCTCCTCCTCGACAATTCGGCGCGGGATGTCGTGCCAGTTGCTGCCACGGACCGGCACCTTCATGGTGCCCTTGTGCGTGTGCTCCCACAGGTTGGTGGATGTCTCGTTCGGCATACCACGCAGTGGTATGCCGTCAATCAGGTGCACAATCTGGTGCACCTTAGGGATGTTCCACTCCGACGTCTGGTCAGGGAATGCGGCCTTGATGGCCGCCACCATCCTGCGTGTGCGCATAGGAGTCATGGTTAGGCTGGAGTGCACACTCGATGCGCAACACATCTAATATTAACAACCGGAATGTACGTACCGCACAGCCATCTCCCGGACGTCGTCCAGAGACTTCTCGGTATGCTTTGTCACGCCCACCAACGCCTTGTAGAAGCTGGCGTACGCCACAAAAGCCGCCACCTCCCGCTCCCGTCTCGCCTTAGCCGGCTGCTTGCTCTTCTCCATGTTGTCTGCGATAAGCAGGGGAATCACTTGCATCATTCCCCTGTGCTCGAAAGCGGCATAGTTCGCCCCTGTGCTGAACCACGTGGTCCCCCCCGGGATGCGCACTACGCTTGCGCGCGTGTCCTTCTTTTGTTCCTTGCGCCGCCTGCCATGGTTGGGAAAGAGTGTCAGCAACGCACTGGCATCGCCAACAACGGTGTCGCCATTCACATGCATACCCACCTCTCAAACTCGCGCCTCTCCGGCTTGCTCTTCCCAACCATGAAGCACTTGCCCATGCGCGGCAGCATCCCCCCGTCCAGGACGTGTAGAAGGTCTGCCGCGCATGCGAGAAACACGTTTCCCCACGTGGTCTCGGCAAAGTTCCATCTTTCCAAGTAGCACTGCCACACGCAAAGACGACACGCATGTGACCGGGCGCTGCGTCACCCACCTGTGTGCCCATTCCCATGGGTTAGCTCGAGCACATTATGCACTGGTAATCCTCACCTGCACAGGGTGTGTTGACCATCGTTTCTTGATATTCTCCGCCGCCTTGCTGCCGGCCGCCGACTGAATGGCTTCCACGACCCGTCTCTGCAGCTCGACCGTCCGCGTCACCGACTTATGCGACAGGTCTGCCAGATGTGTCTCCTTCATGTAGCACGAAGAGCACGGCCGATCCGACCCTTGCTGCAGAGTCGCTGTAGACCGAGACGACTCTGGAAAGTCCCCCAGCTGACCGAAAAGACAGGGAAAGGCCTTCACCACTTTGCCTGTCGCGTCCGTCACATAAAACCATCGCAACTCGGCCCTGCACACGGCACCATGGGAAGTAGTATTCTTGTAAGGCATATCATGGCTCGTTAGCTCCACTTCCACACCCGCTCACCCTCTGTGCGCGCGAAGTAGAGGCTCAAAGATCACCTCCATGCACTGCTGGAAGATGCGCGTCTTCTCGGTAGATGACGCCCACTCTGACGGGAACGGCAGCACACCAGCTAGTACGTGGCCCAGCTCCTGCCAGCGGAGCGCTTCTGGGATGTTGAACAAGCTGATCAGGACCGGCCATGCAGCCAGTCTGCCATTCCTTGAGGCGTGCGTATTGTCGCTGTACACAATCACACCCAGCACAATGCAGTCCTCATCTCCAATCGCGGCCTGCACACACGCTGGACCCAACCGTCAGTGACGCGCGAGCTGCCCATCACACTCCACCCATACGATTAGGATTACATACCTGTGCTTCTTCCAGCCACTTCCCCGTGTCGGGAGTGCTGTAATGCCGCACTTCCTCGGTGTCTTCCTCGTCCGCCCGAGGCTTTGTCACAAATCCGGCGATGTGCTGGAATGCGCGTAGCAGTTTCTTCACCAGCTGCCACACGCATGCCCACGAGTGGTCACTGGTCTGCCCATTTCCACAATCCGCAAAACGATCACGCAGTCGGCCAAATTCCATGCATGTACCCATGCACTCACCAGCTCAGTATCCCGGTAGTGCAGCAGTAGCGTACACATCCAGCCTCTGGGGCCATAGCACTTGATGTCCTTCGTCTTCCATGGGACATGATCACGCGGCGCCTTGTCGCGCCCAAAGCGTCTCACGTCCACGAAATTGAGCCGCCGCCTCACGTCCCTCAGCGAGAAATTAGGGTTCTGGAAAATGTTAAGCAGTCTGTTCACCTCCCTTCTGGACAGATCTGCCTCGCGGAAGAAGATGTACAGCTCGATCAGAGTGTTGAAGCCGTCGTCAATCACTGACATAACACTCTCATCCCCGTCACTATCCTCCTCTGCGCCTTCGGGAGGGTCGGGTTGATCGGTAACTGCAGCCGGTTCCACTGCAGCCATCTCAGCAGCGTCGCCTTCATAGCTGCGGCGAGAACGCATGGGTGAACGGGGCCTTGCTCCGCGCCTGGCGCGCAGCGCGTCCCGATACGCCTCCACCAGCCACTGGGCACGAGAGTGCTGGATCTTCCTCCTGCACTTGACATTCTTAGACACATGCGACTGGAGCGTGTTGTCGTCTACGTGCTCCAAGCGGCATGCCTCGCATGCGTTACCCAGCATCGCAAGGGGTGGCGCGAACCCTAATTGCAAATTACGGATAAACTGTGCCACGCGTACAGACACTCAAATATACCAGCAACCCCCTCTGACGTGGTACGACCACCCGAATCGGTCATGTCGAACTTGTTTACGGTGTATAACGGCAAATGTGTACCCGTTTTTAGTACCATTGCATGAAACACATAAAGCATGAGCTATCATCGGTTTCCGATGGTTGAATAGGCCAGCCACACCGAAAGCTCTTACCCATCAGTCCATCGGTCTATCTAGTGCTCAAGGAACAGCACGACCTATCCAACATGACCGCACCCGAACGAAACCCCAACAATTTACTGTACACTGGCGCCATCCTGGCCACCGATCTTACACGTTATCGTCGATGTGCGGATGTGTATGCCGCACATCGTCCGAATGACGTTACTACATGTGTATACACCTCTAACGTGTGTGGACAGGAGTGCTGCAGTATGTGATTACGTGGCGGATAATGTCCGCGCGTACAATGACGCTCTCAGTCATTCCAGCATCCTTGAGAGTAAGCTATTCGAGCTTATATTCGCGGCACTGCGGCAGTTGGTGTGGTCTAGCTCTCAACCATGGCTGAAATGGCCATGCTACTGGCTCAGATAAAGGCTAATCCAGACGACGTGTACTGCTTCATGGAGGAGCCTCTCTTGCCCACCAGGCTCCCCTTCCTTCACTCTGATAATGGGCACGATGATCCGCTGCCCGGCTGTCGCATCAATGTCTGCTTCCTGTTCAATGCAACGGGAACACTCATGTGTCCGCCTCTTCTGATATTCCGCGCGGACGACGCGCGTGCACAAGGCCTTGAAACACCCCCCGATTTTACCGTGTTCGTGCGGCACAGCGTGGACGGGTTCGTCACGCCCGAGGTGGGAGATGTCCTGCTCATTCCCGGTCCACTTTGCGGAATGCATTTGCATTATAATCGTGCAATCCCAGATGCTAACACGTCTGCTTTATCCTCGCTTGTTACGCTTGTCAGATATTCAGCGAGTACCTTGAAGCGTTGAACGGGCGGGCGTACTCTACAGACAACCATGTCATCGTCCTCGTGACACAGGACGCCCACTCGTCAACGGATCCATCTGCTATGGAAACGATGGAGCACGGTTTCCTCGTTCAGAACCTGAGCAACCTCCGAATCATTCACATGCAGGGTCCTAAAGCGCCTGGGTGCATCCATCCCGGCTTGTGCGGGGTGGTAGAGCTGTGGAAGACGCTGTACCGTGCCTCATACCTTCGCCATTTGATGATGACACCAGAGTGGCGCGACGGGGCATTGTTCCGATACGCCCCTCCCCTGTCCATCATGGTGGACTGGATGGGTTCAAGGTGGAGGGACTTGACTCCGGTTTCGGTCCATCTCAGCTGGTGGCGCGCCGGCTGTGTGCCGGCATCATGGCGCTCGTCTGTGCGAGAGTTCAAAAACCCCGTTCTTTGTGTCCTGTCCGAACCTCTTGTTCAGGAACTGGGAAAGCTGCAGTACATCATAGACGAGTTCGCACGGCCTGGCCACACGCTCATGCATGCCACTGATTATGCGCACTGCGAGCTGACCCTTCTCCCGCCACGCGTGCAGCGCACCATGAACGACAGCCCAGGCGCCGAGGACGGCCGCGAGATAGCACTGCACACGCAGCCAGGACCGCTACTGAATGACCATCGTTGTCGCAGGCGGGTGGCGCGCGTCGTCACCGAATACCTTGTCCGTCAGTCACTAAAGCTCGGCATTGATGTGCGGGACGCGCCAGAGCGGTTTGGCGCGTCGAACGATCTGGTCGTCAGTCATCTGCGTCGGACGCCAACCAAGCGTCCCCGTCCCTCAACTGTAACCGTTATCTGATGTGCAGCGACCATGGATTGAGGCCAGCCGATGTCGGGGTAATGGTGCGGGGGGGTTTAGAGTTTGGTATGTAGGGTTGTCAACGGCCGTCTTCGACGTCCGCTGGAGCCTGACGTGCAGTGGAGTGTCATATGCATCATAGTAACTGTGATATTGAATGTACTGTCTTTTATGTTCATGCGAAACGTTGTTAAACGAGATCGTGTAGATAGGGTTTGATTGCCACCTCGGATGTGCGAAACGAACCATAGCCACGTGGTGGTAGTCCATGCCTCCCGCGCTTGTGGCTGCATGTTAAAAGTTTTATTCGTAACGAGATTCATGTTGAGTGTTTGATGATGCACGAACATTAGCGAGTATGTAATACACTAAACCACTCTTGCAACCTTGCAGCCACATGCACAGTAGACAACGGGTCCCCACCGAGGACTTTATGCGTGATGCGAAATCATGAAACGTGTGCACGTCATGCATATACACCGTTCGGCGTCAATTCTGACACAGCTGGATCTGGCGCGCTGTGGTTATCCTGGGGTTCCTTGTTCCATGCTGTAGGTTTCCGAACAACAACGGACACCGCAAGGCTTCAATGTCATCTGCCTAATAGAGTCGTCCGATGAGCGGCCATTACAGCAGACTAGGTTTTGGACGCTAGACTCCCTGTACATCTATCCCGGCTACGACCACAGTACGCGTCCGAGTCTACTAAGTGCCCACCATGAACATCCAACGCATGCTGGTGCAGCGGGACAACTTGTTCTGCGCGGCCAGTGCCCTGACCTCTGTGTCTACTGAGCAGGATCGCCGTAAGCGCAAGGTGAAGCAGGAGTTGCCCCGCCCTCGTGCAGTGACATCGGCGGGCAGCGGTGTGAGGGGCGCAGGAGAGGTGCCGCCTCCGCCAAGTGACGATGTGATTGCCCGTCTTCAAAGGCCCAGCTATCAGCGTGATTTCCAGCCGTTGGCGCTGTACGGTCCCCATGGAGTGGGGTGTCAGCTGCCAGCACAGGACGTTCTGACGCTCGCAGACGGACAGTGTCTGGCGGACACAGTGGTGGACTTCCACAACATGTAAGCGCCTGGAATCGGTGTGCCTCATACATGCTGTATGTCCTTCCTTCGTATATGTGCTGACCAACCATATCGTGCATATGTGTGATAGAGACTATTGAACATAAGGTATCCGAAGCTGGCAGGAGGCAAAACATGGTTCGCTCTGGACACGAAGGCATTTACGTTCGCGAAATCCCTGAACAGGGCATGGCCCCTTGGACATGCACCGTGTATTTTCGCACAGGACTACCTCGCCATCCCAGTGTGCTACGAGTAAGGCGCTAACCTCTTGATGCTCCTGCTGTTGTTAGTTGCCTGGTTCCACATCAGTCGGTGTCGATACGCGTTCCCTAACATACAACGGGTGTACATGTGTCAGGGGCCACTACTCGCTGGTCATAGCGACGAACCTCCGCACCATGGTCAGCGGGAAGCTATCCGAGACTGCAGAGGGCAGCGTTGAGCTGGTGCATTACGATAGTGCACAGTTGCACACCAAGAAGCCAGAAGTCATGGAGGGCGTCAAGACGTGAGCGGTGCATCTTATACTTGTGCCCTGCCTAATCTTGCGAAATTCCTTTGATGCCATAAATAACGACCACCGTTAACCTGATTCATTTGCAAGATGTTGCTCTTACTGCACAAAGCTCAGCTGCCCACGGCCGACCGGAAGCAGGCGGAGGACCACCTGAAGTATGCCGAAGTCCACGTAATGCATGTGAGTGCACTACATGTCGCAGCCATGTCGCGGGCACAGTATGCCTTGTCTGTCACTTGACGTGTGCCACATCATGTTATGTGTTGTATGGCAGCCGGAAGACATCCCACAACAGTCGAACGCGGTTGACTGTGGGATTTATGTCGGCATGTATCTCCACGCCCTGGTTACATCCGGCTTTTCTCACCTCAAAGAGTGGATGACGTTCTTCGGCGCGAAGTCCCACGCCTACCGGCGCCAGCTCCGCGAGGAGGTGTCCCTACACGCCACAGGTGACCTTATTGTCAAGCTGCTTGGGGAGGGTGTGGATGTTCCCGTGCAGCCTCTTCCCCAGGTGGGAGAACACGGCGCCCTCGTCTTTCCCAAGGAGGACGAAGTCCCCACCGAGCTGGCGAGGCAGTCAGGCATGATAGCCCGTATGGAGATAGGGGGTTACGTTGTGTGTGCGGCTGTCATGGGCCTGGCACGTTCGCTAGGCATCTCGGAGGAACAACTGCTGAGTGGAGCGGCACACGAGCTTCAGGCACACGGGACGCCTCTGCTGGCTCTGTCCACGTCCAAGAACCACGTGGAGCACGCAGCATCTATGCGGACGCTCGGCATGACCATCCACCCGGCTCCATGTCCGCTTCCGCTGCCATCGTTCCCCTCTGCGCATTTCGAGGGGGCGTCCCCCATTAACAGTGAGCCCACACCGATAGATGTCAAGTCCAAGAAGGAGGAGCAGGATCACCCAGCCGCTCCCGTGACTCCGGCAGCACCGCTGACGGTCTCGCGCTCTGCAAGGTATCGCCTCCGTCTGGGGATTAGGACTGCAGGACGGGCCGTGCGTCAGACCAGCATGCTTGCCTCGTACGGTGGCCGGCCTGCATCCAGTCGCTGGACAGGTGTGAGTTGGTGCCCACGCGGCCAAAAGTCTAGGGTTAAGATAGTGTGCGGCCCAGGCACTGGTCAGCAGATAAGGCTGGGTGCGTATACCGTGGAGCTCAATGCGGCGTATGCGTATGCCGCGGCGGCATACGTGATCGGGCGTAATGACCACATCCAGCACGTGATGGAGCTGTCGGACGCGGAGAAGGCATCTCTGATGGGGTGTGTTCGCGACGACGTGCGTCATCTGGTCAAGGCACGGATGTGGTGGAGGTGGCGTCAGTGGAGGACAGCGCTGGCAGAGCTGGGCATTGCTCCTAGAACTCCCTTCCCACTCGAGAACAATGGCACTCGGTCACCGGACAACATCGGTAGCGATGAAGACGTGCAGGGAAGGATGGGTCCTGATGTGGAGGCGGCGTGCGAGTAGGCGCAACGGACAGGGAGTGCATGTAGTGCCATGGAGGCATGTACTGCTCTCTCACATAAACTAGAGGAGGCTGATTGATGTGCGGATGGCGGACCTTAGGTCGTTGGACCTGTAAAAGAGGCATTGTACTATGTGCGACGGTTGATGCTAGATGTAGGTCTGTATCCTGTTGTGATAGAGTCAATTCTGCGCTGATGTCGCACTGTGGATGTCTTGCAGTGGCGCATTATGAATATCAACCATTTCAGATTACATATGCACCGCACGGATGATTTTCACAAGCTTCACACAATGTGTAGCAGTTGTTGTTATGGTCATGCCGTGTGGAACAACAAATGGCTCGACTCTATAACGAGATATGTGGATAACTTTGCGTCAAGCAAGAGCTATGTGGGTAAAAACTGCCAGATGACCACCGCAGCCTGTCCGCCAATTGATAGCCACGTGTAATGGGGGGGTACAGCACAGACGCACACTTGGCTTGGACTCAGAATGCGTAAGTAGTGGACAATGTGTCTGCCAAAGTCATTCATGCCCACAACTTTGTTCACGATGGACAGTTTCACCGTGTCGTCACGTGAGGGCAGGAGTCAGCGCGTGTCACAGCCACCTGCCTACCTACGGAACTCTTACCTTCTGCCTGGGAACGTTCGGCGTAAGGTGACGAAGAGATCTCGTCTAGATGTTTCGAAGCATGCCAACGAGCAGCAAGTCAGGGGTCCTCCCTCGCCGCCACGTGAGTGACATGCGTCACGCCCTGCTAATGGGTCTGCTGCTTCGTCTACTGTACACCGGCCTTTTATGTTCATACACAGCATGCTCGTATGTGCTTTGCGCTTGTCACTAAACTCCGTTTTTTATTTACTGTTGTGAGATGCAGCCGTGACACCGTCTCATAGGACTCGGGCAGACTCGCGTATGTCGCATGGGAGCACTTCGGAGGGTAGTTCATCATCTGCCCAGTCGAGCCGGCAGGTTGACGGAACAGCTGCATCCAGCGGAAAGGCTGGTCGCAGGCGCAAACGTCCTGTTCAAGACGTCGTCGATGGCTCTGCACGAGTTGACGGGGAACCTGGCGCACCTCCGGAGCCATCATCGGACGACGATCCAAACGTGGCTCTCCCTCGTCGTAACCCAGAGACCACACTCAAGACGAGGATGGTGCGGAAGCGGAAAACAATGCTGATGCCGACGCAGAAGAGGACGACGCTGGCGTGGGGCGTGATCCCAATGACTCACCGGTCACGCGTGAGGAGCTGCATAGCATGAGGGAGCTCCATGAAGAGACGGCACGTGCGATTGCAAGGTTGGAGGCGGCGTTCCTTGCGAAGCCCAAGGACGACGGCAGCCATAAGAAGAGAGGAGGCGCAAGCGCGGCTCCGGCGAGGGAAAGCGCTGGAAGGCGCGGCGGGCACGCTCCACGTCCGAGACGGCGTCCGATGAGGAGGAGGGCTTCGACGACGAGGACGAGGGCCACCTTCGACACTCCCCATCTGCCATTATGCAGGAGGCGCTCGACCTACTCCCGACCGACGCAGGCTGGAAGGTAACAAGTGTGGGAGATGGTGCCGTATACATAGGGGAGCATGTGTGGTGGTTGCTGACGTAATGTATGGCCTTACATGGCAGGAAGTATGTAAGCAGGCGCGCACGGAGCTGTTCGTTCGGCGCTCCAACGCTAAGCTGACGTTCTACCCCAGCAGCGCCGCCAAGACTTGGGCCATATGCGCAGTCGTGGATAACCTGACGGAAAGCTATGCAAGCGTTGCTCTAGCGGCGTGCAAGGCACGTCGGGTCGACCTGAACAGATCGTTCAGCGACTGGAAGACTGGTGCGGCAGGGAGAGTCCGCGACATCGGGCTGTTAGAAACAATAGGAGTGGGGCCTAGGCTTAGTAGCCTAGGCCCACACTAGGAGGTAGTAGGTTGTGCCCTAGGACTAGGGTTTGTGGTATACGAAGGAGAATTGTGAGAATGAGGTGGTTGAACTAGCAAGAGTTGGGATACAAGTAGGAAACCCTAAAGGGTTGTACTCACTGTTGAGTACCCCACTGCAGGCTAGACAAGTAACATTCTGACACACCCCCATAGCCAAAGTGGGGTGCAATCAGCAGAGCAAGCAAAGTAGAACAAGCTCAGGGTGGATCACAATGTCACCACACATTCTGAGCACAAGTTCAAGAAGCAACAGTTTAAAGTTCACAACTATGAGCAAAGCTAGTGGTAGTCACAACGGGCAAGTGAGGAGGAGGAGAGACTGTGAGGGGAGAGAAGATAGGAGACGTCGTTTGGAGCTGCAGTCACATGGCGGCTGACTCAGATAACTGGTGCAGCACAAGCTCTCAGTGGCTACCGAGGTAAGCACCCCGGAATACAGGAGTAACAGGCTCTGCAGCTGCGGCAGGAGCATCGGACCCACGGGCGACTGGTGTAGCACTCACTCTGCGCTACCGAGACAGAGCCCCGGACTTCAGGTGCTGCAGACGACAAGACGGCAGCCTCGGCTCAACCTCCCCCAACTGTCCCACACACCCCCCACACACCCACTGCTTCACCCCTAGCTCCACTCCCCCTTCACTCCTGAAACCCTAAACCCTCGGCTCCCACACATCCACCCCCCTCAGCGGCAGCTGCAGCAGTGGGAGACGAGGAAGGAGGAGGAGGAGGAAAGGGGCGACGCAAACGGAGCACCCCCACACCCGCCACCCCCACACCCCTTGTGGTGGGGGGGGGGGGGGGGGGGGGGGGGGGGGCAGAGCAGAACAGTGCGCACGAGGGCGCGGGCAGAAGCAGAGCGCACGAGGGCGCGGGCACGAGGCACGAGGCACACGGCACGAGGCACAGGCACAGGCACAGGCAGAGGCACAGGCACAGGCACAGGCACAGGCAGGTAGGTAGGTAGGCACGAGGCTCGAGGCACAAGGCACGAGCAGGCACAGGCACAGGCACAGGCACAGGCAGAGGCACAGGCACAGGCACAGGCACAGGCAGGTAGGTAGTAGGCTCGAGGCACAAGGCACGAGCAGGCACAGGCACAGGCACAGGCACAGGCACAGGCACAGGCACAGGCAGAGGCACAGGCACAGGCACAGGTAGGTAGGTAGTAGGCTCGAGGCACAAGGCACGAGCAGGCACAGGCACAGGCACAGGCAGAGGCACAGGCACAGGCACAGGCACAGGCACAGGCAGGTAGGTAGTAGAGCGCACGAGGGCGCGGGCAACCGCGCGTGCAGAGCAACAGCGCGGAGCAGGTAGGGTAGAGCGCACGAGGGCGCGGGCAACCGCGCGTGCAGAGCAACAGCGCGGAGCAGGTAGGGTAGAGCGCACGAGGGCGCGGGCAACCGCGCGTGCAGAGCAATAGCGCGGAGCAGGGCGCACGATGCACGAGGCACGAGGCACGAGGCACGAAGCACAAGGCACAAGGCACAAGGCACGAGGGCGCAGGTAGGTAGGTAGGTAGGTAGAACAAACGAACACAGGCAAAACGAACAAATACACGAACAAGACGAACGTACACGGAGTGGGCAAGAAAAGACACATACAGAACGAGAGGAACAAGACTGCGGGTGACAGGAAAAGGAGGCGGCTGCACCGGGACCAGGAGCGGCGTCGCATGCAGCTGCAGGGTCGGCGTCGTGGGCTGCTGCAGAGGCGGCTGCTGCAGGGGCGGCTGCTCGGGTCCAGGGGCAGCTGCAGCAGTGGCGACTGCTCCAGGGGCCAGGGGCGGCTGCTGCAGGGGCGGCTGCTCCAGGGGCGGCGTCGCGGGCCCAGGGGCGGCTGCACCAGGGGCGGCGGCTCCAGTGGCGGCTGCTCCAGAGGCGGCTGCTGCAGAGGCGGGCGACTCCAGGGGAGGCTGCTGCTGTGGTGGGCGACTCCAGGGGCGGCTGTTGCAGTGGCGGGCGACTCCAGGGGCGGCCGCTGCAGTGGCGGGCGGCTCCAGGGGCGGCTGCTGCAGTGGCGGGCGGCTCCAGGGGCGGCTGCTGCTGTGGCGGGCGACTCCAGGGGCGGCTGCTGCAGTGGCGAGCGGCTCCAGGGGCGGCTGCTGCTGTGGCGGGCGACTCCAGGGGCGGCTGCTGCAGTGGCGAGCGGCTCCAGGGGCTGCTGCTGCAGTTGCTGGCGGCTCCAGGGGCTGCTGCAGCAGTTGCGGGCGGCTCCAGGGGCTGCTGCTGCAGGTGCTGGCGGCTCCAGGGGCTGCTGCTGCAGTTGCGGGCGGCTCCAGGGGCTGCTGCTGCAGTGGCGGGCGGCTCGAGGTGCGCCATGGCCTGGCGCAGTCCGTACGGGCCGCGCGCGGGCCTGGCGCAGCCCGTACGGGCCGCGCGCGGGCCTGGCGCAGCCCGTACGGGCCGCGCGCGGGCCTGGCGCAGCCCGTACGGGCCGCGCGCGGGCCTGGCGCAGCCCGTACGGGCCGCGCGCGGGCCTGGCGCAGCCCGTACGGGCCGCGCGCAGGCTGGACGGGCCGCGCGCGGGCCCTACGGAGGTCGCTCGGGCCACGACGGGCGACGGGGGGCGACGCGCGGGTCCCCGTCGCCCGTCGCAGCTCCTCCCGGGGGCGACTCGCGGAGTGACGGGGCAGAAAGCCGCCGCGCGCCTCGGGGCGCACGGCGGGCAGAAAACCGCCGCGCGCCTCGGGGCGCACGGCGGGCAGAAAACCGCCGTACGCCCCGAGCGCACGGCGGGATGAAAAATTAGGGTTTGGCCGCCGCGCACCACGGGGCGCGCGGCGGACAGTACGGCAGCGGAAGCAGGTGGTGGGCCCATACAGGAAGGCGGCAGGAACGTGCCTGCTCTGAATACCATGTTAGAAACAATAGGAGTGGGGCCTAGGCTTAGTAGCCTAGGCCCACACTAGGAGGTAGTAGGTTGTGCCCTAGGACTAGGGTTTTGGGTATGCGAAGGAGAATTGTGAGAATGAGATGGTTGAACTAGCAAGAGTTGGGATACAAGTAGGAAACCCTAAAGGGTTGTACTCACTGTTGAGTACCCCACTGCAGGCTAGACAAGTAACATTCTGACACGGGCTGCCGAAGATTGGACTTTTTCGCCACGACCGAGACATGAAGAGTCCCTGGGCGACCCGGGCGAGACGCACCCTGTCCCGGATCCGAGATAGGGTCGGCCTGGGCGACGTACCAGCGGGTAAGGGGGTGCTACCGCTAGTAGGGCGGGGGGGAGTGCATTACAAATGCAGAGATAACCGTCATGTAATGTGCGCTTTGTTTGTGCGTTACGTGGCAGGGAAGCTGCGGCTGTCTAGCTGGAGTTGCTCCCGTGAAGGAATGCCGTTCGCGTCTGGGGCGTTTACGGCCTGCGCGCGTGCGGTGTTCAAGCCAAGGATGGTCAACGGGACCGTGACACTGAAGCTCTACCACGTGGCATGGTTGGAGCACGTGGTACGCCTACACCGTGGTCATTTAGGCGACTTAAAGTACCTGGGCGAGTGTCCTCACGCGCGCGTGTATGTGGTTTGCCGTGCGCAGGTGACAGATGCGGTCAATCACTGGGAGGAGCGCCAGGGTCGCTTCGCCAACTCCGCGAGCACCAACGCGCAGATCGTGGACGGCCTCCACGTCCTCGTCAAGGCTGCTGTTAGGGCCGCCATCGCGGACTTCCGACCACCCTATGACGAGGCGTCTCAGAGCTGGGAGTGGGGCCGCCATGGCCTGCGCATCTCGGCCGACGACATCGCTGCCGTCGAAGCGGTGACCGCGGAGGCAAGCGTCAGCCGCGGTACACCGCAGGCATAATCAGAGGAACAACAAGAGGCGATGCTTGGCATCGTAAGCCGGTGCAAAGAGTTGTGGCTAAACCATAGGTCTTATGGATGTGTTGTGGCGTAGTAAGGGAACGGTGGTGGGGCGTGTGAGGAGGCCATCGCCAAGGGGATTTGGGACGCCATGGGCCGCGCGTTCTAGCGTTCAATGTCAATTGCGTGCATGTTTAGACGGAAGAAGAAAACCTGGACGATTTATCACGGGTACTCATTAGTTGGCGGAAAACATAACCTGTAAACGATTCTGCGAAATGTTTAATGAGGCAGACAATTACGGCCATTGCCGTAGGGCCACAAACGCAGAACGCGGTTCGGACGTGTGCCGTTGGATGCGGGAACGATGTGACCGCGATTCGGTTCGTGACGGTCCAACCCACCCTATCGTGGGGCCGCCCGTGCCCTATGCCTACTGGAGCCGTAGATGCAAGTGCATCGGCAGGCCTGTGTACCGTTGGATAATGGTGTGGTGGACGGTCGAGAGCGGGGCATTTGGGCCAGCATTGGCGGATCCGTGTAACGTGTAATATGGCCACGTGGGTCTGCATCAACGGACGGGACTAATTACACGTCAACAACGTTGAGATCCTGCTGGCGATAGCGACCACTACATATCGTAGATGCGTGTGTACGTGGACGGTCGGATGCGCAGGTAGCTTACATATGCAGATATCATGTACTATGTTATAGCCGTACATCTTGCCATGATTAAGCGGCATCCGACGTATCCACGTAGTGGGACGGCGACATGCTGTGTTATGAGTCGACCAATGGGGATCAGGTGATATCATGGTATGGCGCGTGGGCATTGGTTACATATGATGAGTACGAAGGGCGTGGATGCAATTCCAGGGTGATCGTGGTCGTCCACGTGAAGGCAGTCGGTTGGACAGGACAGTGGCTCGAGGCGCTTTATACTGTACGACTACTGTAACTGACGTCATCGCAAGATGACGTCATGGTCGCCACGTGTATGGTTCTCGTAAGATTGTGTCTAAATGTGGCATTTGTTATTCACCACACGGGGTAAACCCCGCAGTGACCTGTGCGTGACTTGCATGTGACTCAGCTGTGACGGTGGTTGGGACGCGGGGGAAACATTTCCGCGTGACATTTCCGTGACATCGCCGTCACATTGGAAGTGACGAAGTCGTTGGCACTTCCAACCATCACCTTTTTACCCCAAAAAACCGTATACGAAACTGTGACGAAAATGACACATTTTCGTCACTTCTGGCTCTTGTCTTTTCCGCGATGTAGCAATCGGGTCGCGTCGCGTTTTATGAACCGATGTTCGAAGATGAGTGCGCATAGCTCATGATGTTAGAATTTGTTTCACAGCATGGGGAAAGACGTTGCTGATTCGCACCGTCGAATTGACCTAATTGTCATTAATTGCGTGCGACCTAGTCATTGCGCGGGTTAGAACATCGCGACGAGCGCGATGGCGAAGCAATCTCTGCGTGCCATTCTTTCCTCGTGCGCCCGCATGCTCAAACCGCTGCGCCGTAGAAAGAGGCGGATAGCAGGCGTCATCGGCCATGGCAGTACGGCGTTTCTGGCGCTGGTTTGCTGACGCGACAATTTCAATCTGATCATGCTTTCCCGTGCTTCGCATTCCGCGTAATCCGTGGGAAGATGCACTGCCGGATCGTACGAGTAGTAGGTGGAAATGGCGGAGCCTCGTCAGCTGACGGGTATCAGCTGGCGGCCTCTCGGCTGACGGGCTCCCAGTGGCAGCAGGCGGCCATGATGCGAGGTGAGAGAAGCGGAGAAGGGACGAATGCACCTTCGCGACATTGGCAGAGGAACTGTGGTCGCTGCTCTCTCTCACTCCTTCTGCGCCCAGAGTGGCGTTCCTGGCGCCAGTGTGCTGCCAAGGCAGAATGGATCTGAGTTATCTGTACGCCAGATCCATTCGCAATGCCATCGGTTGTCGTCAATTTCTCCCCTAGTCTGAGTTATGCCTCTTTCTTTTGCTCTCCCCCCATCTCCCTTCCCCGTCCGCACCAACAGCACCTTTCTTGCGCTGGTTGCGAGGTGCGCTCTCCTCATCTCTGCGACTTGGCAGCATGGCAGAGCCACGAGAGTACATCCATGCAAGGATGGGCAAACGCAGGTGAGCGGGGATAGGAACGAAGAGTGAGGCAGCAGTCGTGATGTGAGTTTGTTTAAGTGGGAGGCAGCTGCACGCTGCTCATTGCGAGCACGTGGCATAGTCACATGCCATGATTGCAGCTGGCTTCTCATTGCTGACTGCAGGCAGGGCGACATGCCGTCAACACGGGTTGAGAGACGCCAAGTAGGCAGAGAGAATCTGAGTTCCTTGCACTTGCTAACTCTCTGCTTCCATCCTTGCCGCTTGTCGTTATTCTCTTCTTTGCTCCCGGCATGGTGCTTTTGGCAGCGATATTGTGAGGGGGGAACCAAGAGGGAAGACGATAGAGACGAGGGTATTGTGAGGAGTTTTCAGGAGGGCAGGTGGTGGCAGGAGGAACAAGAGCAGAACTGGGAAGCAGTAGGAGGCGAAGGAGGGGAGGGGGAGGAAGACAAGGAGAAGAATGGTAAGAGGGAGGTGGAGGAGGATATTAGGTGGCAGCGACAGCACGGGCTGGCGTGGCGTGTCTAACAGCGTGGGACAATGCGGTACTCAGATGGTCACCACGAGAAGCATAAGAGCCTGGTTGTCGTTAGCAACGTCACTTTCACGGGGTGGGCGGCGAGCATGCTAGGGAAAGGAGAATGACGTGGTGTTCATGGTGAGTGTGGCTTGTGCTTTACATTCACCGGTCATTACAGCCAGAGCAAAGGTGATTGAATTGGCTTTCAGGAACAAAGGCAGTGCATGCGAGGACTTGGTGTTCATGGTGAGTGTGGTAGCGTAACGCGTGCCTTCTTCTTCCTCTGCCTTTTTGTTACAGACAGTTCTTTCGAGGCAGTGCTTGAATCTGCTCTGCCTCCAACAGTGCGGAGGCAGTGCGCGGGCACGCGAGTAAGATGTGGCATTGTGGCGAGCGAGCTTGTGCGAGGAGTTGACTCTGGTAGTCAAGGTAGGTAGTGGAGTATGATGCGTGCGTGCTGCTTATTGGCGAAATGTGTCATGACCGCAGCAGTTCCAGCTCCTTGCTGCTTGTTACCCTTCATGTGATGCTGGGGCTGGCTCTTCCAGTTCCCGTCTTTCCCTGGCGCTACTTTGCTGTGCTGACGAGGCACTGGTTTTCCGTGTGCACTGGCTCCTTCTTCTCTTCCCTCTCTCTCCCCTGCACTCGCTCCTTCCCGCACCAACACCACCCAGCCCTGGACTAGTGAGACGCCCATCTTACCGCAGCTAGACACAGCCGGGCAAGGTGGGCGGCAGAGCCATGGGACATAGCAGCAGCAGTGGTGGCGGTGAAGCTGGTCAGCGGCAAGAGCACACTCGCCCCACTGCTTCCCCTGTGCACTGCCATCTTCCACTCCCCCCTCTTCAGTCAGCATGCTCCCCGACCTTCTTCCCTCTCTCCCCCACAAATCATTTTCCCTTCTTGCACCAACAGCACCTCGCCCTGGACTAGTCGTGAGGAGCCAACACGTATCTATGACACACAGCCGGGCATCATCGCAAATGTGGGCTGCAGCAGCAGTGGTGGCGGTGAAATCGGACAGCTGCGTGCGAGTGGGGTAAGTCAGAGGAAGGTGAAGGAAAGGTGTCGTTTGAGTCGACTCAAAAGTGACCTCGTGTGTTGTGCCACCTGACAGGCAGCTCGTCAGCTCGTCGTCAAAGCTATTTGATGAACCAACAGCTGAATTTTTGCATCTTCTCCTCTCCGCTCCCACTGAGGCACTGCCTCTAGTAAATGGAGAGGCAGAACGAATGTAAACGCTGTTTTCCCATGTGCAATGACATTATCTCTAATGCTCCCCTCTCCTTGTTTCAGCAATATGTCTCTTCGTTTCTTCCTCCCTCTTCAAAACTCCCTTGCCTTTCCCACGCCACCAGCATTCTGCCCTGGATCAGTCCTGAAGAGCCCAACTGGACGTTACCGACACACAGCTGGGCGGCATGACAGAGCCACGAGTTGCAGCAGCAGCAGTGGTGGCTGTGAAGTTGGTTAGCGGTGAGTGGAGAGGAGGTGGGCAAGAGAAAGTCGTGGGAGGGCAGAGGAGGCAGAAGGAGCTGTGTACATGAGACTGTGGCAGTGTGGGGTTAGTTTTTCGCTGCTCATTGTATGCTGAATACGAGCGGCTCTTAGGCTTCACGTGACGAAAGAAGAGGTGAAAGCGCAAGTTATGTCTGAAGGTGCTTCTAAGCATTTAGGTTGCTTTTTTTTTTATCCATCCCCCGCTCTCCTCCTCCCCCCTCCCCCCCTTCCACCGCACTGGTTCGTCTCCCATCCGTATTGGCCATTTAAACTTCTCTATCTACATCCCCTGCGCTCCTCTCTCAAATTCCCGTGTCTTCCTTCAAAGCCCTCGTCCCCTTTTCCCGCCCACCCTTCTCCATTTTCCTTCCTGACCCACCTGATATCCCACATGGCGACCTTGCCTCCTCCAGACCGGTAGAGGTGCTTGCACACTCAACCAATCCACAACCGCTTGATATGGCATCAAATCATCCAGTTTCCGCCACCACGCCCCTCTCTCCCTCCTATGCTGTTCAATAGCTGTCTCCTGGCTTTATTTTACGCTGCTCCCTCCCCCTCCTTCCTCCCCCTCACTCACACATCCCTCCCCCTCCTTCCTCCCCCCTCACGCGCCTCCCCGTTCCCCCACACAGGCATCCCCCTGCTTCTTGGAGGTCGGTTGATGGTGGCGGCAGAGAGGACCTGCACGCACTCCAATCGCTTTTCAAGTTTGCTCACTCGCGCCCACCGTTTCTTCCCCTGCCCTCCGCTCTCTGCCCTCAGCTGCTTCTAGCTGTCGCCTCGCCGTGAGGGCATGGCTTGGAGGGAGGTGAGACTGGTGGAGAGGGAAGAACGAGGATGGCTAGAGTTGGGGATGATTATTAGCTCTCGCTATGGTCTTGAGTCTATGGTGGGGGCATTACATGTGAGCCACGTGAGCGGCCATGTCTGTTTGTTCTAGTGAGATACAGTAGTGTGGGGATAGCTGTGCACGTGCCCTTTCATCCCACACTTCATCGCACGTTTCATCCCTCACTTCATCCCACGTCTCATACACCCCATTCCACACCTCATCCCATGCCTCATTCCATGCTTCATGCCCCATCCCGTGCATTATTCCTAGGATCCTTCCCATTGCTAGTCTCATGCTTGACCTTCACTCATACCTATCCATCCCTCACGCCTTTCAGTCATACCAAACATACCTATTGCAAATACTGTATACTCATTAAGATCGTGTCCTCAGTAACAAATTCAATGCGGTTACTGTGGCAACACACACGACCCTAGAGGTGAAGAGGGTGAAGAGGGCAAGCCGGTTGCATCACGATTCACAACAACGCACTGCATGCAAGACTTCATGTCCTGCATGCCTCTTAGATTCTCCCTTTCCATCTGCAAAACTTCATCTCAGCTCCCTCTTCCCTGTGTGGTGCTGAGCTGACTCTTCAGCAACACAAGAAAGAGATGCTGCAGCTCTTGTTACTGTCTGCTGTCATTCACAGTAGGTGCTGCTGAAAGAGGTGATGTGTGAAGCGTCGAGGGGCAAGGGGTGATCGTGAGGAGGCAATATGGCAATGATCACTCCAGGAACATTCCAGAAAATAAGAGGTCGTTTGGGGAGCTCAGGAATATGGCAAATGCAAAGCAGGAGGCATTACATATGCTCCCCAGGCAGATGCATGCTCATCATGTCTTCCTCATTCACCCCTGCCCTCTGTTCCATGCCATCCATCCATCCCAGGTTCCCAGCCAGCAGAATGCATTTAATATGTTTTTTAGCAAGCCACTGTCACTCATCTGCACCTGTTTAGAAGTCAATTCCAGTTTGGTATACTTATGAAATGTGCCTGCTTGATTGATACCAGTATGTACCGATACAACATTTTGTTTGATACCCAAACATCATTGAATGAACATTGTCGAACAAATACGGTACCATAATACCCTCCCATAAGAACAGTGCCCATATTTCTTTTGTTGTATTCACTATTCTTGCACTTTATCTTTTCCCACCCACCCACCACCACGCCCTCTCCTCTGAAGTCAAAGCCAGCCTGGCCGAGCCCATGGGGTTCCCTTTTGCATCTGCTTCAGTCACCTGCAAGGCTTCAACATATATGATCCTCCAACTCTATGACATGCAAATACAACTTCATTCTATGACCAGCGTTCAGCCGTGCACAACTACCACTCCAAGACTCTTTCCTCCGCCTAGGTACATGCCTTCCCTCATTCTTCCCTGCCTATCCGCCTGCAAACATCACCGTTCTCAAGTTCACCCCCTTCTGGTGTCTTGAGATATGTCAGCTTCGTGAGGGTGTTCAGCTGCTGCAGCCCATCATTTGTTACTGCTGTACTATCCACGTCAAGTTTCTCAAGACCTGTTAGCCTCCCCACATGCACCATGCCAGCATCCGTCACACCATCGCATCCTGAAAGCTCTAGCACATTGAGAGAGGTCAGAGCTGTTAAGTGCGACAGACCCGCATCGGACACATTGGTGTGCTGGAAAGAGAGGGACGTGAGGCTAACCAAGGACTCAATGCCTTCCAAAAAACTGTCTGAGACGTTTGTGCTGGTGAGATCTAGTGACTCCAGCCCTGTCAGCCTGTAGAGGAGCTTGATGCCCTCTGCGGTGAAGCCAGAGCTAGCGTACAAGAAAATGCTTTTCAGATGGGTCATGGTTGACAAATGGGCGAGGATGTCGTCCGAGAGGTCATAGAATTCGGACAGATCCAAATTGGGCGATATTGATTTGAGGACCTGGAGCCAATGGTTGGAGGAAAAAGGTAACAAGGGGAGAGATGATCAAGGTGATAGGAAAGCACAAGCTATGCACACCCAATGTAACGATCCATGCATTGTGAAACAATGCCTGCGCTGTAAAATGGTTCATTCAGCACTCACCTCCCATGCGTCTGCTGCATCGCCTTCACTCTGGCTGATTTTCAGATCGATGCGCAACTTCATCACTTCATCCTTCTGTTCAGCCACCTCCCCCTTCACCGCATTCAGCTCCCCCTCACTGCATTCAGCTCCCTATCCCTCTCCTCCACCTGCCCTCTCATCTCCCTCGTATCCGCTGCTCTTCTCCTCTCAGCCTCCTCCAACTCCCTCCTTGTCTCTTCCAGCTGCACGCCAAGCGCCTCCATTCTTGCCTCCATCGACTCTTTCAACTCGTGTGTTCCGGCTATACTCGCCCCAATAGTTCTTACAGCCTCACCCACTCTCTGCATCCCAGAATAGGCATGCTTTTTATCATTAACGAACACAAATGGCAGCATACAGGTGGCATAAAGACAGGCATGGAGATGAGATAACAACTTGAGATGCGAATGCAGCTATTGGAGAATATTATGAGGCAGGCAGAGTGAAATCAGATCAAGGCACCACTGGTTATGATGTTGAAGGAGAGAGAAATACAGATGGAATAAATGCTTATAACATGAGAGCGTAGTGACATGCACCTGTAAAGCTCAAGAAGTATGAGACGAGAACCAGATTCAGAGACCATAAAAGGACGGTATACGTGGACGAATAGGAATCCTATGCAATGGAGGCATCAGAACATAAGGATAAGGTCAATATGGAGCCAAGCCACTTTCCAGCATTAAGTTACACTGCATTGGTTTAAATAGATGAGGACAAGTTCATGCATAAGGAGATGGGTGGATGAAATTGAACGATGGTGAGAAGGAGGAGCATACTCACATGGGGCTGTGAAGCAGAGGGAGGATTCCACGTGGTTGCAGCACGGTGAGGGCGAGGAAAAGAAATTGGGAAAGATGAGTGATGAAGGGAGTGGAGGAGAGAGGATGAGAAATTCGCTACATAGAGGCACAGGAGTGCGGGTACAGAGGAATGGGAAGGAGAGAACTCAATAGTGAGGGGGAGAAAACCTCAGAACAAAGCGAAGCTGCAGTGGGAGGGCAGAGTGCATGGCATACCAGGAGGCACTTGCTTGCAGTCTTCAGCTTCATCAGCCCAGCCGTCACAGCCAAGCCCTGCTGATGCACCCATGCTCTGACTTGCGTGTGGGTCACGCCCATCCCCCACAGCAGTGCCATGAGCGTTGCGATGGCAGTGGAGATGACAGAATACAGCACCAACATCGGAAGCTGGACATGTGGGCGGATAGGGGCATGGCATGTGCAAGGAGGTATGAGCAAGAAAAAAGGAGGTGCAATAGATTACAACTGAGCTGGAGACACTAGATGCTGGAAGAATGGGTGAAACGAATCGCCTCTCAGTCAACCCAGCACGCACCAGAGTGTGAAAAGGCAAGTTGATTGCATGGGCTTGCTGAGCAGAGGCAGCAATTGCATGGGCTTGAACGGGAGGTAGGCAAGTGGCATTCTGAGACGGGTCAGTGTCATTGGTTTGAGAGGCAAACAACACACGCGTGCATGTAAAGGGAGAAGCGCAATGCACGCATGCACACACAGACACGGGCACAGCACACATGCATGCATGCATACATACGAACGGGTAGTGCTACATGATGCGCCAAACGTGCTTTTAGCCTTGTTACGAAAACTTCAGCATTCAGTAAGCAAAGGGTTTGATAGTTAACGACAATTTGAGAGGGGAAAGGAGAGCATAAGAGAGTGGTTGACCTGCTGACTGCCAGTGTCACGGGGCAACTGCAAGTGGCAACAAGGGAAGAGAGCACAGATAAATGCTGAGTGCCAGGTAAGGAAAACTTGAAATCGCAAGACACACACAATGTGCACATGTATGCTGGTTGGGGGCGGGCATGGACTGGTGCGCAAAATGCCGAAGAGAAAACATGTTGTATGCTTCAAAAGTTACTACTATTTGCCATGCACCACTCACGTCCTCAGCAACTGGTGCACGAGCATCCCTGTCAAGTGCCGTAAAACTGATGATTGCAATGGCAGAGATGGCAGCGCCGAGAAGGAAAACCATGAGCAGGCCTGGCAACTGCATGGCCACTGCAGTCATCCGAGCCATGGCTGATGGGTCGACCCCAATGCCAGGCGTGCGCCTGCACAGTGAGGCGCGGCAGGAGCAGGGGAGGGAGGTGGCCAGTGGCAGGGGAAGGAGGGGATAAGCGGCAGCAGCAAGGGAGCGAGGAGATAGGCGGCAGTAGCAAGGGGAGGAGGAGATAAGCGGCAACAGCAAAGGGATGAGGAGATAAGCGGATCCAGGGGAAACGGATCCGGGCAGAGCGGGTCCAAGAGAAAACGGATTCATGCAGAGCGGATCCAGGGGGAACGGATTCATGCAAAGCGGATCCAGGGAAAACGGATTCATGCAAAGCGGATCCCGGGAAAACGGATTCATGCAGAGCGGATCCAGGGAAAACGGATTCATGCAGAGCGGATCCAAGGGGAACGGATTCATGCAGAGCGGATCCAGGGAAAACGGATTCATGCAGAGCGGATCCAGGGAAAACGGATTCATGCAGAGCGGATCCAAGGGGAACGGATTCATGCAGAGCGGATCCAGGGAAAACGGATTCATGCAGAGCGGATCCAGGGAAAACGGATTCATGCAGAGCGGATCCAAGGGGAACGGATTCATGCAGAGCGGATCCAAGGGGAACGGATTCATGCAAAGCGGATCCAGGGAAAACGGATTCATGCAAAGCGGATCCCGGGAAAACGGATTTATGCAGAGCGGATCCAGGGAAAACGGATTCATGCAGAGCGGATCCAGGGAAAACGGATTCATGCAGAGCGGATCCAAGGGGAACGGATTCATGCAGAGCGGATCCAAGGGGAACGGCAGGACATGGTGCAATGGACGAGCACTCACAGTAGACTGAGTGTGGCGGTGGCGTGCCAGATGGCAGCAACGAGCTGCGTTTGAAACAAGGCACTTCTTAGCCGACAGAGTGGCAGCGCTCCAGAGCAGGGAGGAAGAGGAGAGAAGGGTGAGGAGGAATGACACGACCAGAGGAGAAAAACTAGGGAATGATTTGGAATTTGGAGGCAGGGAAAACAGGTCCGAGGAAATCCGGAAGTGGATAAGGATATTGGGGTTTTGACTCAGGGACGAGAGCAGGGAGAGGAGGAAAGGGGACATTCGAGAGGATACGAGGGAGGCATCATGCCATCTCATCCATTCTAAGCGCGCTACGTTCGCCTCGCACTCATCCGTCCATTCATCTCCCCTTTGCCTCTCACATGTCTCCATCCCAGCTCATAGTCCGTCTCCGCCGTGAGGCAGCACTGTTCCACCGACTCATCTCGTAAGCGGTGAGCACCCCACTGCGCCGTATGACAGGCTGTACTTCACCCCCGTATCCGCAGGCCACGCTGTACTTCACCCCCGTATCCGCAGGCCACGTGGGCAACGCATGCATGGGATCGACCGCGAACGCGTTTCGAGGCATTGGGATCATTTTGGGGACAACCGCTATTCTAGCCCCGCCTTCAGCTTGCTTCACCCTGTCGGTCGCAGTGCCTTGAACTTGCATGTTGGATCTCGCACTGAAAACAGAACGAAACATAGAATTCTTGAAACTGATGTGGCTTCATCGCGTTGTACAGCCGAGGCGCGTTAGCGCGCGAAAAGCTACTGCTGTTCGAATCTGGTCGCTCTCGATGCACTGACACGTGGCAAGGCGACACAGACGGCTATCGAATGGTAATACCCGTGCTTGCTGGCGCGGATAGCGTTCAGTGTTAGTTTCAAGTGGCATCGAGTAGCGGGGAAGATTGTGTGGAGGAAATTCGTTAGGTATTGCAAGGTGAATCGCCCGTCAAGTTCAATTTGCACTTCTATGCTGTTACCTTCCCGAAGTTCATACACCGAGTACATACACCGAGTACACGCGGAAAGACCAGTGCCACGGACATTTTGAGTCGAGACCTAATTTGCAAGTGATTGTGTCGTTCTCAGTTCAGCCAAATGTGTGCTTTGAGCAAGGTACAATGCCAGCGCCAGTGCTCCTCCCTCACCCGTTTCAAATTTGCCAACTCATTCGCACTTCGGAAGCGAACCTTTGCTCACGTGTCGACGTTTGTACCTAGCCATTTATACCTCGTACGGACATTCTGAATACCCAGCATGACCAAATTGAAACGCAGCACGAGCCATCTTATTGGCATTCTTGCCATCTTAGCTCGGCGTTACTGCTCTGCTACTTAGGGCGCGTGTCCTTGAGGTTGAACTTTTGCCGAAGTTCGAACTCTTAAAAAGGTTCTACACGGTCGGATACAATTGAAATACGTGACGCCACGTTACAAAGCGGTACTAGGCTCGAACTTTGACAATCTACACCAATAGACAAGCGCCCTTATCGATTGCGCATATCCAGATTCCGAACCCGCGTCACAATTAGGGCGCGTGTCTTTTGAAATTTAGGCCGAAGTTCACGTTTTTTAGTCGAATTTTGGCAGATGAGCACTGGTCGACCTGTTGTCGACTATCTCATCATTTTCCTGACGAGTCGCGTGTTCACCTTTGACGTGGAGCACATGGCACAAGAAATGCTCGACTTTCAAAGGCCCTGTTCGATTGAACTTCATTGTTTTGTACAGCCCCACCACAGTGTAGCCGAATCGGCCTAGGGTTTCCGAACCTAGGGTCACTACCTTCCAAATGCAACTTGATTTGGCTTACAGTTTTGATAGCTGCCCGAACAGCCCAAGTCGCAACAGTCAGAACCGCGTAGTCAATGAATAAAACAAACCGACACAGTGCGCAATTCAATTGATCCTAGCAGAATCAGATACGAGAAATTGTTTACACAAAATTCCAAAATAGCACGTGTTGAACTTCGGAGAACTCACTGCTGGGTATTTGAAAGATGAAAATTTCAAATCACAGTGTACCCTCGACGACAAACGCGTTTCAAAAAATAATAATCAACTGCTTTACGGGAAAACTGTACACCGAACGTTTTAGGGGACAGAAGTGTTTACACAATTTCTGCCCGAAATGTTACCCCTTCAAAGTGGCATTAGGGAGGCTGTCGTTGGTGCAGCCAGCGGAAACCAAGTATTTTTTGCCCGTGAATTACTGTTGCTTGACCAGCAGGCAACAGTATTTGGACCGCGGTTCGCAGCGAAAATTACCGCACCAGATTCGTAGGTGTGCCTAACGTACTTCAGGTTCTGGTTTGGATCTGCCTAACCTCGCGTGGGGTTTAAAGCCCATGTTTGCAGCTGCCGAGCCTTTACCGAGCCACGCAATACTGTGATAGGACTGTGGTTACCCCTGGACTGTGAAGCTATCGAACAAGGCCGAAGTTCGAATATGTACAGCAAAATCTGAGTCGCGCCCAGTTTCGTAGGTTACCAGGTCTATAAAGTAAAGTTCGTCAACAAATCAAATTTGTGTAACCTGTCACGACGTGGTTCGTTACCGTCGCGAAGCTCGCAGCTTTATCGTCCGTGGGCAAAAGTGCACACGTTTGCAGAAACGTGCTCGAGGCTTAGTGAATGCGAGGTCAACCCAAGTTCAGTGTCCTGCTGTTTTCTTCAACTTTGAGCTTGAACACACGATCGTCGTCAACAGCTCTTAACGAAATTGGCGAAGCTGGTTACCAGCAAAAGTTCGACCTGATTTTTGAACCTCTACACCAAAAGACACGCGCCCTTAGTACCAGTCATACGGCTAGTAACCCTCCGCTCCCTCCTCACGCTATCTGATCTGCTCGTTTCAAAGCCATCTCATTGTCTCGCGTGAGATTCGCTTGCGGCATCTCAGATCGTTTGGAGTGTCCAGACCCGTCGCGCCTAATAGGCATCATTGCCTCTCCTATTCTCACGGTGTTTCAATCTGCGAAACCCTAGAAATAGTTTAGCGGTAAGGCTGCTCCCGTCATTGCATTCATTTCCTTCGTACACCAGCTCTGCTTCATCATAATTTCTCTCCATTCGGAGATAATGTCCAGTCATCTGATGCTCCTTGTTCTATGTTTCTCTCGTCCTTTGCCTCCATACTACCGTCTCCATTCCACGTATCCAGAGCTAAATTAAAAATGAAAATGCAGATGAAAGAGTCGGTGCATGAAGGCCTCTCGCCTCCGTGCTCTTAGGGCTATCTGACTCCTATCCGTGTAATAACTTTGTAATTCATGGCCAGGAAAACAGCGACTGTCGTGGCCTCATCCCAAAAATGCATTTGCTCGTGGGGTATGTTTTCTGGCGATACCCCCAAACATACCCCAGCCCTCGCGAGGATTTGGTGGGACCACTACGTGGGGGACACGTGGGGGTATCTGCAACAGTGCGACAGCCCACTGTTACTGTTGGGCATCCGCACAGTGCCAACCCACCGGCTAGTGGGAGGCTGCAAACTCCCAAACCACGCAAGGTTGGGATTGGTCAGCCTCCCCTCCCAGCATTTGGGCGCCCACCTGAAGACACGCAGCCCAAACCACACCCTCGCGCGAAAATAACGAAACGCAGAAAAGTCAAGCTCCGACCCCTCGCCGACTTCGCCAACGGTGCCGACGAAATTACAGCCCCGTAACCAAGCTCGCCGTCCAATCCCGCATCGCAATCAATCTCTGAATTTCACGGCAAGGTTCATTTCAAGGGGTAGAGTTACCAATAAGAAATTCAGAGTGTCGCGACTTGGTAGTGCGACTCGATTTGTGAATGCATCCTATAAAATTGTGTGTGAAATTTGTTGAAGTCATAGTGCAATTTCCAGAGAATTCCAGAGAGCACCTCATACCCGTTTTTCTAGCCTACTAAGGCTGCTATCTCCCTGCCAGCAACGTTTCAGTATCTGTTGGTTGGGGCGGCGCGATTTCGAAGTTGCGGGGGGTAACTTTCCAAGGCTCGCGTATTGCTGCAAGTCCGGCGTCCTTGCCTTTTTGCTGTCCGCTGTTACATTTACAATGCAGTCATCTCTAGAATCGTGATTGAATTGGAAAGTTTTGTATTTGCTACCGCTGTGCTAGCTCGCATTTCCTCGCAACTGATTCTTCCGGGTCCACCAATTCAGTGTAGTCACAAGCAGTGAGCGCTACGAGTAATACCGTCCTCGTTATGCTTTGCTTGCCGTGTTGGAATACCCGTTAGGTGTAGCGAGTGTTGCTCGCATTGAGTACTTGCCCCGTCCCGCTCGTCTCCCTGCCTCCCTCCCCTTCCAACACTTTCAGGTTTGCCGAGTCTTGCCATCAGAACTACGCACTGCAGGTCGATCGAACCCTTGCCGCCACTGCTGAGACACCACACGAGACGTGGAAAACATCGACACGTGAAGAAACCCTGAAAAAAAACAAGCACTCTTACTCTTCATTCAGCCTACACATGAGCCACCCCATCAAAAAAATCCCAGCTCCCAAAAGCATCCTGAAATAATCCCGGGAGAGGCTTTCGGGACACTTTTCACCACCATCCCAAAAGTGTCTTTCAGAAACAACTACCTGACAGATCTGGGAGTCCCGAAACTGTACGGGAAGACTCTTTTGAACCATCCCTGAAGACCCTTGAGAGACGCATGTGAACATTTTGGGGACATTTACTGTTCCGCATAGGACAAAATGACGGTTTGGGGACATTCACTGTTCCGCCTAGCGCTTTGTGGGGGCTGAAAATACTTTCGGGATGCTTCATGCTGTAGTTGGAGCACATGCAATTGGGCTTTAAGTCCCACTGTACAATTCTTTTTAGTGTTTATTGCCAAACATGTTCAACAACTATACTTGAATCACAATGTTAGTTGAAACAGTCAGCACT